TCGGCTTGTACAATTCGTTTTCGCAAAGCTTCCCTTTCTTTACTTATCTTTGATATTTATGACCCACCCAAGTTGGGTGGTGTGCTGCTTTGCTGCTTCGAATTGTAGTTAGACCGCTTTGTCAAATATCGTACTGGTCTCGTCATCGTCCAGTAACAATCGACATTCTTTGTTCCGTTGGGACTGTAGCTTTTGCTCGTTTTCGTTGCGCTTGCCTTCCCCTCTTTGGTCTTTCCATAACCTTGAACCTTCCAAGTTGGAAGGCTGTCGGTTAGCGCTACGGAGATGTGTTGAAGTTAGGTGTCAGGACGTCGAATGTCTCAGTACTCTGTCAGTTTTGTGCCTAGTTATTGCACTTTCTGACTGTATATAGTATCATGTTACAGTGATGGAGAGTTACTCTTAACTCGTATCCATATGTCCTTTTCTCTTTTACATTTATTTATGGCTCAACATCCGAGTTTCAAATTGCACACCTGATGAGCCGTCACGAACCATACGGCGAAACGTACGTCGTGTGAAACAACTTGTTTTGTAGTCAACTAGTCCATCACAATGTCATGCATGAGGAGTACTGTAGGAGTTTGGCTTTCGGCTTGTACAATTCGTTTTCGCAAAGCTTCCCTTTCTTTACTTATCTTTGATATTTATGACCCACCCAAGTTGGGTGGTGTGCTGCTTTGCTGCTTCGAATTGTAGTTAGACCGCTTTGTCAAATATCGTACTGGTCTCGTCATCGTCCAGTAACAATCGACATTCTTTGTTCCGTTGGGACTGTAGCTTTTGCTCGTTTTCGTTGCGCTTGCCTTCCCCTCTTTGGTCTTTCCATAACCTTGAACCTTCCAAGTTGGAAGGCTGTCGGTTAGCGCTACGGAGATGTGTTGAAGTTAGGTGTCAGGACGTCGAATGTCTCAGTACTCTGTCAGTTTTGTGCCTAGTTATTGCACTTTCTGACTGTATATAGTATCATGTTACAGTGATGGAGAGTTACTCTTAACTCGTATCCATATGTCCTTTTCTCTTTTACATTTATTTATGGCTCAACATCCGAGTTTCAAATTGCACACCTGATGAGCCGTCACGAACCATACGGCGAAACGTACGTCGTGTGAAACAACTTGTTTTGTAGTCAACTAGTCCATCACAATGTCATGCATGAGGAGTACTGTAGGAGTTTGGCTTTCGGCTTGTACAATTCGTTTTCGCAAAGCTTCCCTTTCTTTACTTATCTTTGATATTTATGACCCACCCAAGTTGGGTGGTGTGCTGCTTTGCTGCTTCGAATTGTAGTTAGACCGCTTTGTCAAATATCGTACTGGTCTCGTCATCGTCCAGTAACAATCGACATTCTTTGTTCCGTTGGGACTGTAGCTTTTGCTCGTTTTCGTTGCGCTTGCCTTCCCCTCTTTGGTCTTTCCATAACCTTGAACCTTCCAAGTTGGAAGGCTGTCGGTTAGCGCTACGGAGATGTGTTGAAGTTAGGTGTCAGGACGTCGAATGTCTCAGTACTCTGTCAGTTTTGTGCCTAGTTATTGCACTTTCTGACTGTATATAGTATCATGTTACAGTGATGGAGAGTTACTCTTAACTCGTATCCATATGTCCTTTTCTCTTTTACATTTATTTATGGCTCAATATCCGAGTTTCAAATTGCACACCTGATGAGCTGTCACGAACCATACGGCGAAACGTACGTCGTGTGAAACAACTTGTTTTGTAGTCAACTAGTCCATCACAATGTCATGCATGAGGAGTACTGTAGGAGTTTGGCTTTCGGCTTGTACAATTCGTTTTCGCAAAGCTTCCCTTTCTTTACTTATCTTTGATATTTATGACCCACCCAAGTTGGGTGGTGTGCTGCTTTGCTGCTTCGAATTGTAGTTAGACCGCTTTGTCAAATATCGTACTGGTCTCGTCATCGTCCAGTAACAATCGACATTCTTTGTTCCGTTGGGACTGTAGCTTTTGCTCGTTTTCGTTGCGCTTGCCTTCCCCTCTTTGGTCTTTCCATAACCTTGAACCTTCCAAGTTGGAAGGCTGTCGGTTAGCGCTACGGAGATGTGTTGAAGTTAGGTGTCAGGACGTCGAATGTCTCAGTACTCTGTCAGTTTTGTGCCTAGTTATTGCACTTTCTGACTGTATATAGTATCATGTTACAGTGATGGAGAGTTACTCTTAACTCGTATCCATATGTCCTTTTCTCTTTTACATTTATTTATGGCTCAACATCCGAGTTTCAAATTGCACACCTGATGAGCCGTCACGAACCATACGGCGAAACGTACGTCGTGTGAAACAACTTGTTTTGTAGTCAACTAGTCCATCACAATGTCATGCATGAGGAGTACTGTAGGAGTTTGGCTTTCGGCTTGTACAATTCGTTTTCGCAAAGCTTCCCTTTCTTTACTTATCTTTGATATTTATGACCCACCCAAGTTGGGTGGTGTGCTGCTTTGCTGCTTCGAATTGTAGTTAGACCGCTTTGTGAAATATCGTACTGGTCTCGTCATCGTCCAGTAACAATCGACATTCTTTGTTCCGTTGGGACTGTAGCTTTTGCTCGTTTTCGTTGCGCTTGCCTTCCCCTCTTTGGTCTTTCCATAACCTTGAACCTTCCAAGTTGGAAGGCTGTCGGTTAGCGCTACGGAGATGTGTTGAAGTTAGGTGTCAGGACGTCGAATGTCTCAGTACTCTGTCAGTTTTGTGCCTAGTTATTGCACTTTCTGACTGTATATAGTATCATGTTACAGTGATGGAGAGTTACTCTTAACTCGTATCCATATGTCCTTTTCTCTTTTACATTTATTTATGGCTCAACATCCGAGTTTCAAATTGCACACCTGATGAGCCGTCACGAACCATACGGCGAAACGTACGTCGTGTGAAACAACTTGTTTTGTAGTCAACTAGTCCATCACAATGTCATGCATGAGGAGTACTGTAGGAGTTTGGCTTTCGGCTTGTACAATTCGTTTTCGCAAAGCTTCCCTTTCTTTACTTATCTTTGATATTTATGACCCACCCAAGTTGGGTGGTGTGCTGCTTTGCTGCTTCGAATTGTAGTTAGACCGCTTTGTCAAATATCGTACTGGTCTCGTCATCGTCCAGTAACAATCGACATTCTTTGTTCCGTTGGGACTGTAGCTTTTGCTCGTTTTCGTTGCGCTTGCCTTCCCCTCTTTGGTCTTTCCATAACCTTGAACCTTCCAAGTTGGAAGGCTGTCGGTTAGCGCTACGGAGATGTGTTGAAGTTAGGTGTTAGGACGTCGAATGTCTCAGTACTCTGTCAGTTTTGTGCCTAGTTATTGCACTTTCTGACTGTATATAGTATCATGTTACAGTGATGGAGAGTTACTCTTAACTCGTATCCATATGTCCTTTTCTCTTTTACATTATTATTATTATTATTATTATTATGAAATGACCCAAAGGCAATGTGCCTATCGAGGGGTTCATTTGATTGAAAGAACAGTAGATGTAGATGTATGTACAAAGAGAAGTAGGGATTGATGAGGAGAGAAATGGGGAAAATCAACTGCAAGGTGGCGGAACTCCGTTGATTGCATAAGCATAGTCAGCTGTAAATTTCCTGAGGGCAGCTTTGGACTTATAGAGCGAGATGAGGTGTGTATGATTCAACACCTGCTGTATCGTGCCTCTGCAGTCAAGATCGGCAGGAAGGAATCCAATCCCTTCGAAGCCAATATCGGGACTCCGCAGGGAGATCATGGGCTCAGCCCGATACTGTTCGTTTGTTACCTGGAGGCTGCCCAGCGGTAGTGTCGAGACCGTTTCCGTCCAAGGCCAGAGCATGATAACAATCAGATCCCACCAGAGACAGGTTACCTGATGTCCCGTAAGCTATCTTGGCTCAAGGAAGTTTTGCCCGTGATAACTTACACTGATACGTGCCACACTCGAGGTCTGGGGATGATATTGCTCACCGCATGGAAAAGGCCTCGCAGGTCTTTGGCAGGATGTTCTCCCTATGGCACCGGAAGGAGAAGGTATCAGAAAAGCGCCGGCTGGGAATATACAATGCCCTCGTGATCTCCACCCTCCTCTACAATTGTGAGACGTGGGGACTCACGGAGGGCAAGCTGGTATCCCTGGACGTATTCCACAGGAAACAGCTACGCACGATTCTTGGAATTCGTCACCCAGACCATAATTATAACGAATGATGCGCCCAGGCAAGGTTTGTGTCAGATCACTTTTCTGTGAAAGACTTTGCGTACCCGGCAAACAGCGCTCCACAGAAAAGTGATCTGAGGCAAACCTTGTTCGCAGGTTTGACGTTTGTGTGCCTGTGTCATCTCCCAGTATTGTACTACTCCCTGCACTGGTGTACATGGCGGGTTGAAATCTGACCCGGGTCGAACTCAACCCGGGTCGAAACGCCTTAAGCCCGATTCACAATACAACTTTCTGCGACGCGACACGCGATTTGCGACAGTTGCGACAAGAAACTGCCTGTCGCGAGCTGTCGCAACCTGTCGCAAGCTGTCGCAATGCACCTGTCGCAGAAGTTGAAGAAAGTTCAACTTTTGCGACATGCGACACGCGACATACACAAATGGAGTACAGTTTCGACCCTGGGTGCACGTGCAGTGCACGTGCATAGTACTACTTGTGCATGAGGATGTCGCAAACATGAAGAATATTGTGAACCGTGTGTCGCTGTCGCAGCTCGTCGCATGTGTCGCAAGTCGCATGTCGCGTCGCAGAAAGTTGTATTGTGAATCGGCCTTTATGTAAACACAGCCTAGTAATAACAAAATGCATTCACCAAGTATTCGGGCATGGTCCATCGTCAGGGTAAAACCATTCAACTTGGTAATACCAAGAATATAATAATTATAAGCTCCTGAGGTTATTATAGACTCTTGTTTGCCTTGATACACTTAAGTTAGGGCTGACAATGGCACAATGCAGAACAACGTTATGTTAGGTGGAACCGAACATTGCTCACAATACTGGAACTCCGGAAGCCAAACTAATTCTGGGCGAAGTCCAATCAAGGTACAGTACTAGGCGCAAATAAAGAAAAAAGCATGTTATGCACACTGGGTACACGAGTGGGAGATTATCGCAGAGGTGCTCGGTAGGGTTAACTTTGAAGAAGTAGGAAATACAAGGCAATGCAAGACATAAGGTCGTGCATTAGTTAAAAGCAGGAAATGATGTCAAACAGGACAATGCGTAGAACGCCATAGTGTGGTGTCGCCGCAGGTAAACAAGACACGTGCTTCGTGTTACCAGAACAGAATAGGGTGTTCTTGAACAGACACAAATGCCGTGCACACAAAAATAAGTAAATCCATGGAAGTGCAAGCTTCGCCAGTCATGAAGCTAGCCAGATCTTAAAAAAAACAGCAGCACTATTGTTTGAAAATTGTAGTAGAGAGATTTTCCGGCTGATAGTAGCCAGTAAGGAGCAAGTAAAATGCAAAGAATTAAGGAAAACGGAAAAAAAGAATAGAATTTAATTCCTACATTATGGGGAAACAGCTTGCAGGCATGAAACAGACCTGGGCTGTGCGCATCTACTTTTTGTACTCCATTGACAGCCAAACAGTTATCATTGGTAAATAAAAGTCAAACAGGCCTGGCCATTTAGATTCCTTGTGGGAAACTTGGCAAAATGACCGTGATGCAGGATTTTAAAAGGACGTTGGAGGGTGGAAACGAAGAAACAACCGAGCATGAATTAGACCTTCCGAATGACCGCTGCAGGAAAAAGATAAATGAGGTAAAAGAGAGACAACAGCACGTTAGAGACGTTTTTGAAGAACGAAATGGGCACGAGTATTCGCAACGGGTTTCGCGAAGGTGCGCGCGGATATTCGCACACACCTTTTCATGGTTCTCGCACGCCTAATTGCATGTACGTAGTGAACCCGTTGCTTTGATCTCGTGTCCAAAGTTTGTACGAATATTCGTGTTGCAGAACCTCTCTATCATTTACCAAATTGGCTGGAAATGAACTTGGTGAAGGAAACAGTCCTTTCTTTTGGCCAAGGGTGCATCATCGGCAAGGACAAAATGCGAAGCTGCACACGTTGGTTTATGCACTCTTGCCCATAGAAACATTTGTTGTGAGCTATTGCAAGGTTGCCGGGGCGGAACCTATTTTGCCATGGGATACGACTTTTATGCTGCATTTCCCTGTATGATTGCGTGCGTCTAGTTCTAGGTCGCTGATCAACAGCACTTGTACTACAGCACTACAGCTCTACTCAGCTACATTGATTGTGTCTGCATGCATCTGTGCGTATGTATGTTTGTATATGTGTGTGTGTGTGTGTGTGTGTGTGTGTGTGTGTGTGTGTGTGTGTGTGTGTGTGTGTATGTGCGCGCAAGCACAAGCTGCTATGGCTTCTGCTGTAGCATCGCTATCATCGCCTTCGGCGATGGGCGTCCAATGGTCCAATGGTCCAATGGTATGTGCGCGCGTGTTTGCATGTGTGTACAGTTTATGGTTTACATATGTGCAGATGCTTGTATGTATGTGTGTGTATACGTGCGTGCGTGTGTGTACACCCACATACTGGGCATCAAGTTCACAAGATCAGAAAACACGCATTCAAGCTGATGCATTCCACTTACAAGTGCAGATGACAACGCCTGCCCTTGGTGTGGGCTTGGTGAGCGAGTTGGTAGTGGATTGTGGGCCGTAGTTGAAGGTATGGAATTCACCGTGCGATGGGCCAGGCAACTTGTGGTCGTGCACAAACACTGGAACGCCGACGTCGATCGCCTTGAAGAGCTTGTTGACGGCGTTGGAGACGGAGGGAAACTTGGTGTACTCCTCCATTCGGAACGGGTCCGAGTGGGCATGGTGCGGGCCGGATCTGCACTTGGAGTTAGCGTAGTCTGCGTCGTCGTAGTTCACGTTCCTGTGGTCCAGTTCGTAGGCAACCGTGTACTCGACAGGTGCTTTGCCAGGCGTCCGCTTTACTACATCCACGGAAACATGTGTGTCTGCACAGAAGAGAAAAAAGAACATTGAACATGGAAATAAAATAATCGACTTGGAGATCACAGTTTTAATAAACTCGGATAGAGAGCCAAGGATTATTTATTTATGAAAAGTAAAAAAGACCAAGGAACTACAAGTTACACTATAATGTTCACTAACTGTTATCTAGATAGTTGTAGAACGTCAGTACCGTCGGTCAGTGTCGTGCCATGTTATCGCACGAGCTGATTGTTTAGTAACTGGTGGTGTTGGAGGACATTATAGCGTAACTTGTAGTTTCTTTGTCCTTTTAACTTTTTTAATAGAGCTATTAATAATACCAACTGGGCACTCAGTACTCCGACACACAAGGCAAGATAGGTCCAGAGGTTTCCATGTAATTTAATACCGTGTGTCTGCGCCTTTAAAGCCGTGGCCTCATATTCGAAACACCGCTGGTTTCCTAGCTTTTCTAGACGCAAAATGACTCACCCACTACGCTATGCCATAAAAGTCAAAGTCCACACAGAAATTTCATCAAATCTACTTGTTCAACATTCCTGCTGGGCTGTAAGTTTGTTAATATAGTACTTTTTTCTTCATGTTTACAAAACATACTTCAAATGTCATTTCATTTATGAAGCTCATCGCTGTATAACTGAGACTGGCTTTATAATCGAATATACCTCCATAGCTTTAAAGGTGCGGCGGACCTACGGTATGTAGATATCTCATCTGGCAATGTGAGTGCTGATCAGCAGTAACAGTGCTCCATTCGTTTCAGGATAGACTACACCTTTGCAATCAGTGTCTGCTGTTGCTGGATGTCAAACCCACGGCCGGGCACAAGACACATACACAGTGCAACACTTCCGCTAACGTGTCTTAATCTGAGTCCGGTAGGTTCAAGTGTGGCGACTGAATGTAAAGTAAAGTAAAAGGAAAAGAATGTTCTCACATTCACGTTTTTCAGGTCCCAGTCTGCTTCAGCTAATACTATAATTTCAGAATTTTCGTTGCTCAATATTTTGGTATGAGGGGAACAGGCCAGGTTAGGTGTTCAGAAATGTTCGGTACAGAGAAGCAGTTCCCTACTGGATTATGTACTGCGTTCCAACTTCTTTTCCTGTTCTTCGATATCGCTGAACGGCCCATTGTTAAAAAAAATATTTTTGTATTTTCGAATTTTCAGCATCAGCAACAGTGCCTTCATCTTTACAACAACTTACCGTAGCATTTGTGGGTCTTGAGGGTTGTGGAGCGGCAGAGCTGTCCGTTCTTACACGGCTCGTATCCAAGAACAGACGATCGGCATGAATCCAAGTCTGCGGGGCAAGGGTTTAAATCAAGAAAGTTCAGCCGTAAATAACCAAACCTGGCAAAAAAAGTAGACTCTCCGAATGTTTAGCATCCTATCAGACTTCAACGTCCGCGACAGTAGTTACAGTTGTGGAGAGATGCTCACAGCTCGTATCCATGCGCTCGTCCCTATGTCTAGTTTTAATGTGAGGAACTCGAAATTCGGCCAGGTTTTACAAAATTAGGACAGGTATGCCATGGCAAAATGTATGGAGAAGCAGATCCCAAACCCAGATTTTTGAGATTTAAAGTGGGTTTTTGATCCTCAAATCAGCCCAAATCCGACTTTCAAAAGCCAGCGGGACTGTTTCCGATGAATGGACTGTAGTTCTATTGTGAGGAACTCAGTCAGGTTTAACAAGATAAGGGCAAGTGCACAATATCAAATTGCATGTTCAAGTCCTGGCTCCCTAGGAACAAGGTGAGTAATGTTATGTTATCTGTATGTTTACTTCACAATAGGTACTAGGTACAGGCAGTGCTGCCTTCTTGCTGTGGGTCATGAATGATGCCACAGGTCCTAGGCTATGTATGTCTTGTCTACTTGCAGATGCTCAATTGACATGGACAATGTGTTTACCCTAGAGGACCAAAGAGAGTGAGTGATGCCGGTGCAACATAATTACTCACCCTGTCTAGTGCAAATAACTGCATGTTCACCGGTGCTATCATCTTCATAGAGTACCGTGTCCTCGCTGGGAACGTACACCTCTTGATTATCGTAGATGCCGACCTTTGTGATCCAGAAGTTGTCTGCGCCCTTCCTCTCAATAGCCTTCAGGATTTGGTTGCGGAAACAGGAGTCGGTCCGGTTCAGGACGCGCATAGAGTTGAAGGTAAGCATGGTCTTTTTCTGCTGTCTGCACAGAGCATGGGCGCTGTCATAGGTGTGACGGGTGGCCGATATGAAGAACTCTTCATCACCGCAGGTGTGCGTTAAAGTGGGAACGAACTTGCGGTGTGTCTGAGCTGCAAAAAAAGAATTAAAAAACAACGAAGAAATAGGTCTAAGAATATAAAAAAAAGTCTGCAAGAAATAGCAAAGTCAGCAACTGTTCTCTTGAAATGACCTCAATGGCTGCGAAGCACGTCACCAGAACTCCTTGGGAATTGCAACATCTCCAGGCGGATTTCACTGATGTGATCCACAAAAATGCTCACCAAAAACCGTACGCCAAATCATTGCCGGCGAGAGCTGGCAAAGTTCGTCAGTGCCCATTTTTACACACTGCCTCAGCACATACATGTGTCTCGTGTTAGTTTGAGCGCTATGTGAGCGATGCACTCCGGCAGAATTTCAAGTTGGCGTCATTCGTATGATGCGATTCCAAATGCACGCGTATATTCAGACGTGCCCTGTACTTGCGGTGGACAAATCCTGACCCTATTCTCTACAAACTAGCTCAAGGAAACACACGTGATACGTTCGCATCCCGTACAAACGTGGGGATCACTCGGGCCAGCAGCATTGCATCACAAACAAGGTGCCAACTTGAAAAAATGTTGGAACAGCAGGGCATGCGGAATATAAAACAACTCTTGGGGGGCTGTATGTATGTAGCCATGGTTACGGACTGTGGTCGGTCCCACCCTGCCCGGAATACACTACTGCCACACGGTAAAGTAAGCCTGAACAAGTCGTAGGCCACGTGGGCCAAATTCTGTTTTCGTGCGCAATAAATGTCAGCCTTCGCAGTTCCTGCCGGTATGCACAGCCATACGACAGGCAGTCATACGGTGTCATGCAAATTAAAGTTTAGCCGTAGGCAATTTCAGGTCTCACGGTGTAAAGCTCAAAATACCCGAGATTCGACATGCGCCAAACATTTGCTGATGTACAGTCTGGAAGATGATTCATGTTGCACATGCTTCCCTAGGTGCAGCTCATGTTTGGCATTTTAAGTGGTCTTTGTAAAAAGAAAAGAAAAAAAGACTTACTGGTGCAAACAACCAGGCCTGTTGTGGCAGCATGATTGACGGCGCTAGTCCAGTGGTGGCTGTTTTTGTGGTACGTGAACGTGCGGAAATGGCGAGTAGAATTATTTTGGACATAAATGGTGAGCTGGGCGGCATCACCTAGCAGAAGGAGCTGGTCCACGGCTTTACGAACTCTGGGAACGCTCTCGTAAATGCCCATGTTGAACGGTCCGGCGTAATCGAAACCGTGCGTCCGCCGGCAGCTCCTCTCCGCGTTCACCTTGGTGTCCGAGTGGAACCAGCCGTGGGTGACATTGAACCAGACTTCCGCTGTGCGCTTCTCGCCGCCAACAGTGGTCATGTATTCCTCTCGTACCGTGGTTCCTGTCCGATAGATTCACCACAGAACAGTACAGGAGTGTAGACATTAGTATACACAGGTCATCTGATCACAACATACTCTGTAAAAGTCCATGTAATGTGAAAATTATAGTGGTCTGGGGAATTTCGGCAAACTGCAAAGATCGGTTTACAGTTGAAACTTGGCATAGAAAAACTGCTGTTCAAATAAATGAAAATAAATTCATACTTGCATATTATTAAACACACCATCTCTCACATCGCTAGGCATCCCCACACAGAGTATCATCTGCCATTTCAATTTGATTTCCCCCTGCACCCAAGCCTGCTATCAAACACACACACACACACACACACACTCACTGTTGCTGCATGACAGCACTGACTCGCGGCACCTTTTTTGTTTGTGCTTCGCCCGATTGGGCACCCACTGTGTCACCTCCGTAAAGAGGACGATACAACACTTTTCCATATTTGTCCGACTCATTTTGCACACTGTTTTTCCTATAATCACACAACTCCCGAGAACAGGGACAGATCAATAAAGAACACCTTCTAACCAACAAGAGAATTAGGAGCTTGTGTCTGTGACGAGGGTTGTGCCACGGGGCACTAGGATCTCACGAAAACACTCACTTTTGGGTTGATGTTTGACAATCCCTGTGAGGAAAAAAGAAGAATGAGAAAGGCAATTTCATTATAACATTAGCTGGAAAATGGATTTGTTTTATACACAGGGGAACAGGGCAGCAATGTTGCACATTCTCAAGATAACAAGAATCCGCCGCAGCCATCCTTACATCCTCACTGGAATCAATCGATAGAGCTTTTTCAAGGACGCCGCTCCCATGACCGCACTGCGGCGCTACGGAAGCTTGTTCTTTTTCGCCCAAACCATGGAAAGGCTTCCCGGTAACTGCTTTGACTCAACACGAGTGTCGGACATCAATGTGAATGTGAACTGGGCTTCGCCTGTTCACCAGTGATTAAACAAATTCTTGGACATGACCCCAAAAAGTGACCATTGGTACAACCTTGAAAAAACTTTATTATAACATTTTGATGCCTAATATATTTTATGTGATTGCTGCATGTGTGTGTGTGTGTGTGTGTGTGTGTGTGTGTGTGTGTGTGTGTGTGTGTGTGTGTGTGTGTGTGTCTGTGCGTGTGCGTGCGTATGGTGCAGTGGTATGTGCAGAGATTTACGATCGATAGGTTGCGGGTTCGATTCCCGACGATCATGGTCACACACATCTTTCTTCTCTTTCTTAGACTCTTCCTGACTTTTCTTTCATTCTCCTGGGTGGTTACCAACCTCTTGGCCAGAGGCGATGATAGCAATGCTACGGCAGAAGCCATAGCAACTTGTGCTGAGACTGCGCCATTCAACAGCTTGCAAGGCTGAAGAATTGACCGTCACTATTCAGCCTGGCCTACACCACACAGCTATTTGACATGACTTTTTTTGGCCAGTGAATCCCTATTATTAGGTCATATTATTTTTTGGTCCTTTTTCTTTTCTTTTTTCCCGCACACACATCACACCACATACTCCGGCATGCACTGGCTGTTGGTAACCACCCAGGAGAATGAAAGAAAAGTCAGGAAGAGTCTGAGAAAGAGAAGAAAGACGTGTGTGACCATAATCGTCGGGAATCGAATCCGCAACCTATCGATTGGAAATCGCAGCACATACCACTGCACCATATGGGATACACATGGGACACACACCATTGGACCATTGGACGCCCATCGCCGGAGGCGATGATAGCGATGCTACAGCAGAAGCCATAGCAGCTTGTGCTGGGATTGCACTATTCAACAGATTGCAAGGCTGAAGAATTGACCGCCACTATTCAGCCTGGTCTACACCACACAGCTATTTTTTGGTCTTTTTTCTTTTTTTCCCCGCACACACATCACACCACATACTCCGGCATGCACTGGCTGTTGGTAACCACCCAAGAGAATGAAAGAAAAGTCAGGAGGAGTCTGAGAAAGAGAAGAAAGACGTGTGTGACCATAAACGTTGGGAATCGAGCCCACAACCTATCGGTTGGAAATTGCTGCACATACCACTGCACCATATGGGACACACACACACACACACACACACGCACGCCCGCACGCGCGCGCACACACACACACACACTTACAAGTGCAGATGGAAACGCCAGTCCTTGGCACAGGGCTGCTGAGCGAGTTGGTCGGGTGTCGGGCCAAATAGAAGGTTCGGAACTCTCCTTGTTGTACACCGCTCGCTCCGTCGGAGCCTTGCAATATCAATGATGGGTTGTCCATGCTGCGTACATACACTGGGATACTGGCAGCCATTCTACTGAGGAGAGTGTTAACAGTGTTGAAGACGGCCGGCGTATTGGTGTACTCTTCCATTCGGAACGGATCGGAGTGGGCATCTTTGTTGCCTTTCTTGCACTTTGCGAATGCATGCTTTGCATCGGTGTAGCTGATTTCGCCACCGGCCAATTCGTAGCCAATCGTGTATTTCACGAGACCTCCTCCATGCTCGGGCTTGACTACGTCCACGGTGGCACTTGTAGCTGCACGAACACGAAAATAGCATTTTAATGGTAGGCATCTCAATAGTGCCATTATGAGCACTACTCACTATCAGAAGATGGCCATGTCTGTAAAGAACGACAGCCGGTATGGAGCACGGTATGACATGAACAACTGGTGGTCGTCATGGCGAATTCCTAGCTAACACCATTCATAATTTTAATTTTATTTTATTTCACCGTCCAATGGCAGAAGCCAATGCAACGGAGGGGGCGTTAGCCAGCCATGGCAAGAGAAGAAAAAAGAAGGAAAGAAGATTATAAAAAATGGCAAGAGAAGAAAAGAGAAGGAAAGAAGATGATAATCGGAAGAAAAGAATGCATCAGCGGGGTGAAATTTATCGCTATGTTGACCATGGTGGAGAGCGGCGAGATAAGCTAGCAAAAGAGGCGAGCGAGTCTACAACGTGGCATGACATTTAACATGGTGTACGAACTATCTAATATTGGATATTGTCTTCATTTGCATGGGCAGCTTAAGCCAATACGAATATGCAGAACAGATAGGAGATTTGGTAAACATAGTTGACAAAGCTCTGGGAAGTACTATGCCATTGCGAGTGTCCCGTGCGAAAGTAAACCAATTATACTTGCCGAGATGTTCAGGGACAATGTTCAGTTTAATACGATGGACCAGAACGCATGACTGTCTCTGCGACAGGATAGAGATGGGGCTGGTTAAGGCCAAACTACATGTATATAGATAAGCGGAGGGGAATAGAGAGGGTTTACGAAAAATAATTTTCAACACACGTTTATGATGTATTTCTAGTGCCTACCGTATTTTCCGGAGTATAGTGCGCACTTTAGATGTGCTATTTTAGGCCCTAAATCGCAGGTGCCCACTATGCTCCGAATATGAAATGCATGTACTTCAATGAAGGTTGAAGTGCGCACCCCCAATGAAGATTTGGGGTGCGCGTTATACAAAGGTGCGCACTATACTCCGGAAAATACGTTATACAGCAGATTTACTAAGCAGGGAATGCCAAGCAGCGGCGCCGTACAGTAAGATAGGAAGAAGGTAGCATTTATAAAAGAGACGAATACATTCGGGGGACAAGTGGGAGCAGTGAGACATCAGGCAACCTACAGATTTGCTAACTTTGTTGCATACAAAATCTACGTGAGAATTCCAGGACAATTGCGAGTCAAATACAACACCCAAATGCCTGTGCGTATCTACAATGTTAATGTTAATAGCCGAATCAAGTCCGGGAAGGGTAAATGTGGGAGGGTGGTCTAGTTGAGGGAGAAAGACTATTTCTGTTTTCAAGATATTGGGTTTCAGACGCCATGACAACATCCAATTATGAACAACATTGATTCCATTCTGAAGCTTCGTACACAGGTTTGCAATGTCAGCGTCAAACTGAATGAGGGCTGTGTCATCAGCAAATAGTGACAAACCATCTATACAGTCAGGTAGCAGAATGGCTTAGGAAAATGGCGTTGCGCATGCAAATAAGCTTTTGTGGAACAGAACTGCTTGCCCAAGAAAATGCTGACAAACTGCCTTTCACATAGTATCGACAGTAAATCATAGGAGGCAACGATTTAATAGCCGCAATCAATAATAACACAAGCTGAATCGACATTAACAATGTCGATTCAGCTTGTGTTAGTACTGATTGCGGATAGTATACCATAGATATGCATTTTCATTCACTGTAGGTAGGCAGCCCAACAGTACCGTCAACACCAGCATCACAAGCACCAACATCAGCAGCACAAGCACCAACATCAGCAGCTGCATCACCAACATCAGCAGCAGACCCAGCAGCACAAGCACCACCACCAGCACCAGCACTAGCACTAGCCCTAACACCAACACCATCACCATCACCAGCATCACCAGCATCACAAGCACAAGCATACGCACAAGAAAACTCACCGTGGCACCTGTAGGAGGTAAGGTTCGAACGACAAATCCTGTGGCTACCACAAGGACTGAATCCATCGTCAGATCCACACGGGTCCATGTCTGTACAGCAGAGTTTCAACAAAGAATGTTAGGACGTGAAAAACATCAGCAGTCGACCAGGCCACTAAGTACTCTTGTACTCTTGGTCTGAACAGTATGCAATCTCCTGGCTGAATGAACCGGAGGAGAGTGAGTTGTTGGAACACCACCAACAGATGTGTATCTTGCATGGGGCCCGGGGGGGGGGGGGGGGGGCATGTACCCCCTAAACATTTAGACAAAGTTTCAGCATGCACATAATGACCATGAATGATACGCACAAACCATCCTACACATATGCGGCCGTGCAACCCCCTGAAAGGGGGACCAGCTATGTCCCTGACCCACTACTCACTGGGTCGTGTGCAAATGACTGCATGCTCGCCGGACTTGTCTTGAAGGAGCGTGGCCTGTGTGGGCTCGTACACCTCATACTTGTTGTAGTCGCCAAACTTGGAAATCCAGAAGTCACCGTGTCCCTTAGCCTTGAGATTTTCCACAATGTCCAGACTGAAGCAACCGTTGCCCTCCATCAGCGCACGCATCGAGTTGAAGGTGAGCATGACCTTGTGTTGTTTTTTGCACAGGTTCAAGGCACTCTTGTAGTCGTAGTTGTCGGCTGAGACGAAGAACTGCTCGCCGTCACAGGTGTGTGTCGAATCCGAATACGAGGTGAGTACCTCAGCTGTAAAACAGATAGAACACAGCCGAGAAGAAAGTGTGCTACCATGAGCAGAACTTGAGGTCCTGCTTGAAACGACCGTTATAAGTCGCACACGATTTTCCAGGTATGGAGAGAAACATGGCTAAAGACAGATCACACAGCAACATTACCACAGCATCAATCGTGGATGCTTTTCAATATTTTATTCATTTCTATTTATGTTCTCCCCATATAAGAGTGTTTTATTTGTTTTTCATCCGTAGTTACGTATGTTCACTGTAACGGTTGCGAACATACTCCTTTCACGTTATCTCCCACGTGTTTATTACTATTGTAGTTTTCCATAACCAATAAATGAATGGTTACTGCACAGTTTTTTTTCTCTTGGTTAGGAGTCATCCACAATTATCAAACTTTATGGGGTGGGAGGAGTTGACCAATTTCGTTTCAGAAAACAATGATGCGTGTACCGTAGTTCCGCGCATATAAGCCCATGGGCTAATATATGCATTTTCCGGGAAAATAAATCAGTAACGGTTCGTTTTTTAGCCCTGGGCCTATATTCGAATTTTGAAGGCAGCTGGCACGTGAAAAAGTACAAGTCCTTCCGCGGTTGTCCGCCGGTACTGGTAATGTAGTCTGCACTGACATGTTGTACTACGGTGTTTGGGTCTGTTTATTAGCCCATGGGCCTATAAACGGAGGTGGGCTTATATCCGGATATAGGCCCATGGGCTTATATGCGCGGAACTACAGTACATTGCAGTTGGAGCAATGACACACTTTCAACTTTTGTTGTACATGTATGTCAACATTTATAACGCTCTGAGGGGGAGGGAGGGAGGAGTTGGGTCTAAACTTTAATAATTCGTTTGGTGAAAAAGGTTCGATATTCACGGACGGCCCCTGTAATACAGCATTTCAATCCGGCTTTTTTAAAATATGAAAGCTGGAGGGGCAAGCTACCAGAAGGGTATGATACCTCAAAAGGCAAAACTTCAACTATTCTCAAATATTTTTTACGAATTTGGTTGATTCGCGGTATAGCCGACTTACTTGTGCAAACAACGAGACCTCTGGTGGCTTGAAGGTTGATGCGGTTGGTCCATCTGTCGGTTTTGTTGTGGTAGGTAAACGTGCGGTAATGGTTAGAAATCTGACCATATCCGTCGAGCCCATTGACGTAGATAATGAGCTTGTTCGTACCAGCTACGCGCAGGAGTTTGTCGACGGCTACGCGAACTATGGGGTAGCTCTCGTAAATCTCCATGCTGAAAGGTCCGGAGTAATCGAAATGCTGCGACTCACGAGTGCAGTTATTGACAGCATGTTTCTCCGCGTCGAAGTACACCCAGCCGTTACATGCATGGACCTCGACATCTGTTACGATCTTCTTGCCATTCTTCGTGATGTTAAATTCCTTGCGGACGGCGGTTTCTAACAGGCAGAATCAAGACAGGGCAAGACGAGTAAAGTCATTAATGGAAGTAACATATTTTTTGCTTCACAAAACCGGGAACATTCCATGCCTTCTTTCATGCACATTCAAAGGAGTTGCTAGCGGGAATGTAGAAACAGAACAAGTAAATCATCGGACCTGGACAATCACTCGAGTGCAAGATGTAAACTGGCCCCGGCGAGTGAAAGCAGGGTACATTGGCATATTAGGTCTTAGCATTTGGGGACATGTGTATTATCAGGTGGTCTGAATGCGCACATTCACAAACGCATTAATTGCTGCGCCAGGAGAGCGTCTCCAACTTACGTTCTTCGCAGGTAGGGCCAGTCCATCCCCAGTCGCAGATACACGTGTTGTCCTTGTCGTCTTCCACAATGCCGTTCCCACAGTGCTCTGCAACGGGGAACAGGAGAGGAGTTTGCGTGAACAGAGGCAAAGGGGAATCATTTAGCCCTTCGTGGGTCTAACTTAATGTACCGGTATGTGAGAGGTGGTCCCGCAAACACATGTACAAATAGCCAGCCATAACTCAAGAACTACGAGTTGTAGGTATGGGTAAACTATACATTTTCAAAACCTGTACGGCTATTTCACCCTGATCATATTGGGCAAAATTTTGTTGCAGCCGAAATTCAGTGTGACAGTGTATACAGGCAACAGCAGTACCGGCCGAAATTTGTTGCAGCCGAAATGTGGTTTAACCCTGGGAGGCCGAACTTTAAAAGGGCCGAAAATTTGTCGACTTATAGTATGCCTGAACGAGTCCAGAAAACACAAATATGACTAGGTACAGGCAGGGTATGACATGTGGACGCCTTTCAAGTTGAGAGAAAATACAATTGCGAACGTAATACACGGAAATCATAGCATGACGTGCATATCAAGTGCATATCAAGTCGGAGCTGAAGTCCTACGATCAGCAATCAGATAGACGCTACAAAATTGTATACTCCTAATTTCGTCCTTGAACTCCAATGCATCGCCATCGGCAATGCGCCACAAGCAGCAGTTCCACAATATCGTAGTTTTGGTTCATTCACTTCAGCGCCGCTCGCGTCAGATTCACTCTCGCTCAGATGAGTACTCAGGCGCGATCTCCCGCATGCCGTGATTCTCACGGCTAGGCGATCTGCTGATCGCACCTGACCAGTCCTTGTAAGAGTTGCTGTTGCCGTGCTTCCTCGCTGGTTGGTATTTTTGACTTCTTCATTCGGGGACAGGAGCCAGGAGGACCACACGGAGCTCTTTTTCTCAAAACACACTACACTGCAAACCCTGCAATTACTGTCCTCAGAAAGCTTGTCAGCTTGTCAGACCCGGCCTCAAGAGATGCACTCCCAATTCTCGACATGCGCACATGGTGTATGGTCTTCTTTTTCCAATTTCGATACTGCAAAATTTGTATGGAAAGTATGGTTGTTTTTTACAGCGTTGGAAAGCATTGAACCTCAGCTATGCGCAGAGCGCAATTTCAGTCGTCTCCTAGCAACAAAACACTCAAAAAATGCAATGTACTGTACCGGTCGGGTCGTATATGACCTTTACGCTTATGTGAGGCCCATAAAGGGTTAAAGAAGACATATCAATTTTTTGAGCAACGGTACGGAGAACATGAACAACACGGAGTTTGAATGAACGGCAAAGGAGGATCATCTGATGGTCGCTGGGCGCGCAAGGCAGGTGGTTGCTGTATCCGGTGCCGTTTCTGTGCAGAACTGTCCAGGGAATGTAAAAAACCGTAATAAAGTAGTCGCAAAACCGGAGTTTGTTTACACCAGGTTTCACTGTGTCTTGAAAAATCAGGTTTGTATTCCAAACAGGCTTCTACACTGTATCTGAGACAGGCTTTGACACAAGACACTACGGTATCTGCATTGCGCATCATACTAACCAGGAATTTCTGCTCAACACATAGTTTTTTACACGTTGCAAAGTCCAAGTTCATGTCCCACTGTGCTTCACACATGCCCACATCATCTAAAAATAGCTGAAGATGATCCGCGGTGCACAGATAACAATGGGAACTCATCACCCACCATCTGTAGATGGCTCAATTGGACGAAAGCGAAAAACTCCATGCACAGACAGAAAAACGAGCAGTTGCCTTTTCGGAACTGAATCGATCAGATGAAAATTTACGTCGATTCAGGTTGTGAAACTCGACAAGCAGCTGGTCTTTCTTCCGTCTGCGAAGCACAACATTACAAGCCCACCGCAACACTTACTGACGCAGAGAACGGCACTGTACCCGGGATGCTGTGAGTCATCCTCGATCTTCGGCGCGAGTGTGCTAACGTCGAAGGTAACCTTGTTCTGTACACGCGGCTGGTTAGGCTGAGCAGCATGACTTGTTGCGTAGTAGGGGCCGGGGAATCTGCGCATTTCGGTTCTCGCAAAGAGTGGTCTCAGTTCGGCCTCGTGCTTCAAGAGGAACGTTTTCGTCGGGATGTGCAGGCCGTACCAGTAACACAGACCTTCGGCAGTGGGCAACGTTTCACGCTGGAAGTGATGCATGATGAGGGCTGCGACTGCCAGGGGTCCTGATCTGGAATAACGCCAAGCGGCTGGGACACACACACATGTCAAAAGCATTGGAATCAGGGATGAACATGATGAAAAGCAGCATCGTGTGCTGATTGCAGGTAAAAGCAGCAATTCACATCTTGCTCATGTGACTAAACTTGTGCAGAAAGACAAGATCATGATTATAATATTGACAGTGGAACTAACATGGCCGACATCACGTGACCCATAGATGCAGGGGTTGAGTGGAGTTGGAACCAACATGGCTGCCCTGTATGGTCATGTGATAGCTGTGAAACCACTCTAGATCAGTTCACATGAGCCAGTAAAGACTATGCATTTTTGTCCTACAAAATCCACATATCTCCAGACACTGGGGTGAATAATGGAGTGTGGTGGTGGGGCCCATTAAAAGCTCCGCCGACCAGAGGTCTTGGCTTCGTAGCTCCATGGACGCACCAACGGGATATTGGGTAGGGAGGATTAAGTTGAAAAGGAAAACAGAAGAAAGAAAACGGAAAGACTGTTTTGCTCAGTGAGTAAAATAATAAGTTGAGTATTGATGTGAACGCTGTTAGACTTTTAAATTCAAGAGGAGACTGTCTGTGAGGAGAGATTATGTCCAAGCAGGGTACAGTCAGACCTCGCTTGAACGCACACATCTGTTTTCCCCAATAACATCCGGATAGGCGAGGTAACCGGATAACTGAACACACATACTGTACATGCATGTGGCATGTCAAAAGCAGTGACATCATACATACATGTAGACAGGTCCTATGCAGTACAACTAGCGTGCACAGTATGTAAAACAAGCGAGAAAAATGACAAGTGCATGCAACTGAGTGCTGTCTGCACACACCCAGCAGATCAAGGACCTCATTTGCTTGTACAACTCCTTGATACTAGCTTCTGCAAGCGCTAGCCAGCCACATGCAACTGGATACGACGAAGCATTTTGTACACATTTTAACCAGTTTGTACACAAAATCATGCACCGGTATGCGGATCGCGAGGTCTGGTTATGTTGTATGCATAACATATGCTGCACATCGGTAACCAGCGATTTTCTTCCGGATGGCGAGGGATCCGGATAAACGAGGACCGAATAAACGAGGTCTGACTGTAGGACACTGTACCCTCTTACTCGCGTATGCTGTGAGTGGCCCAGTGCCAGTTCGTTCTGAGGAGATGGTGATAAGCTGCTGTCTTGAACTTTTGGATGTTCTTTTGGTGAAATGGGTGGGGAATGATAGAGGAAGGCAGCTGGTTCCAAATTGGGATGACGGAGTGGGGAAAAGGCTCGGCTCACATTGTTCCGGGAATTGGCAGGAGGAACATTCTGTAACTGATGGGGATGCGCGGTGGACAGTCGTACAGCCTGGCGGGTGAGGCGTGTGGTCCTGGGCTGGTGTGTCGGGGGTGGAGCCATTCTCGAGAGAAGAGAGGGAGAATTATCGCAAAGGGCATTATACAGGAGGCAGAGGGCAGCGATGGTGAGGCGAACTATGAGGCTAGGAAGCCAGCATTGCGGATGTATTGCCTTCATGGCTCGCTCCTGCACCCAGTCCAGCCGATTCAAGTGGGAAGGAGCTGCCCCCATCCAGACGATTGGGCAGTACTCATAACCGGCCGTGTGTGTGTGTGTGTGTATGTGTATGTGTGTGTGTGTGTGTGTGTGTGTATGTGTGTGTGTGTGTGTGTGTGTGTTTGTGTGTATGTGTGTGTATGTGTGTGTGCGTGTGTGTTTGTGTGTGCGCGTGTGTGCGTGCGTGCGTGCGTGTGTTTGTGTGTGTGTGTGTATGTGTGTGTGTGTATGTGTGTGTGTATGTGTGTGTGTATGTGTGTGTGTGTGTGTGTGTTTGTGTGTATGTGTGTGTGTGTGTGTGTGTGTGTGTGTATGTGTGTGTGTGTGTGTGTGTGCGTGTGCGTGTGCGTGTGCGTGTACGTGTGCGTGTGTGTGTGTGTGTGTGTATGTGACTTATCCCGACAGCAAGAGTCCATAACCCCAAGAGTGTGCAACAGGGGTCTGGCTGCTGTAGGCCCACTGCGCGGCGGAATTCCAACACTACGTCATGCGGCGGAGGCACAGCTGTACAAACCTCCGCATTCCTCCGAGCTTGGAACCGGGGAGTAGTACAAGCGCAACGAACGTGTACGTCATTTTTGACGTAATGTTGGAATTCCGCCACGCGGATCTCCATATACAGAGTTGCACACTCTTGGGGTTATGAACTCTTGCCGAAAGTAAGCGCGACGAAGCTCGTTTTGGCAAACCAAAATGTACTGCAAGCGTCACAACCGCTACGTGAGCCTGGCTGTTTGTGGCTATCCCTTTGGCTGCTGTGGTGCATTGCTGCCAGGGCTCAAAGGACCAGCAAAGAAGAGACATTCTTCACTGGAAATACACCACAGACTATTAATTCTCATCAAATATCCAGCGTGCAGTAATTACGTAATGGTACGGGCTCAGAGCCTGGGCATTGTCTAGACCCCAGTAATAGTATGGGATCAGCAGTGAAAGGGTTAACCGTATTCTCCCGATTCGATGTAGCTGCGAATACTTTCAGCGACATGCCTGGCCACCACTCGCTTACCATGACAGACAGTGTCGGCTTTGCTGGCATCCGCGGGCCTGTGGCTAGCTCGGCCGCCTAGCAGGGAGTGCGTGTAGATGTAGTGCCGTGCCCAGCCCAGAGTCCAGATGTTCACTGGCGTGGAGTAGCCGTGGTGCATCATGTCGACCAGCATGCCATCGAAGCAGCCCTGAATGTCCAGCGCTTTGTTCATGAAGGCACGTTCGTCGGCGAGCACGTAGCCCCTATCCAGACACTGGCTATGGCCGTACGGGAGTCCTGCCCTCTTATCGCATCCGCCGGAGCAGATTACTGTCAGCGGGATGTAGAAGTATCTGTAATGATCTCTGCCATTGCAGACCTCCTTCACATCTGTGATTAGGAAAGAAGACCGAGAAATGCATGCACACGCACATACCCATATGAGCACAGGAGGTGAGTTGTGTTTACGAGTGCTGCCACGGTACTTCTCACGTTCTATTTACTCTGAGATTCGGGGGGGGGGGGGGGGGGGGGACTCAGCTAAATCATATTCTGGAAATCTCGTACCTCTACCAAGTCCTACCGACTTCTATTTGCTTTTGTTTGGTAGAGCCGGTAGAGAAAGTTAGAATCTACTCTTGTGAGTAGAAAAAAAGGAACGCATCAACCGAAAGAAGTAGTTTCTACGCAAACCTGTAGATCAGAATGAAAACCCCCTTTGTTTGAGGAAGTTGCAAACGGGAAAAGTGAGAAGAAAGACAACAACAACAACTGTCACCACCAGGACTAGAACCAGAGACCCACAGTCTTTTCGACTCCTTTGAGTACACTCGTCTTTAGTGGAAGCTTGTGCGTGCACGCAGACCAGCATACATTAAGGAGTGTCTTTAAGTAATCCGCTTGGGCCCGTCTCCTGGGTGCATGCAGCATTGCTTGATCGGGTGAACACCAAGCGAATGAGCACACTCACTGCACACTCACTTCACACTCACACAAAGATACTTACAGTACTGGCATTTGTCGCCGTAGAATCCTTTCCGACACGTGCAGGTGGCATTCTCATTACATCGAGCACGGTTCAAGCATTCGCATGCTGCATCAGCACATTGTCCAAACACGCAAAGTAGAGATGAAACAGCACAGAAGTTGTGGTATGTTTCTTGGCCATCATGGTGCAAGCATCGACACAGCTACGAGTATTAGCAACATTTCGCTGCAAAATATCGAAACTTCACTGGCAAAATCGGGCTTTGCCTACTCAGAAGTCAAATAAAATATCACTTTTGCCACTGAGCTGGATTCCACATTAGGGCTTTTGGAATATCTCGGCCCAGTTTGGCAATAATATATTGACCTTTGATAAATATCCACACTCATTAGTGGCCACACCATCAGCAGTATCAAATTCGAATAAATTTCCTTTGACTCAATACATACCACTGCACTTTGCCAGGCAGCACTGCAGTTTCCCTAAAAAGGAGTATTTTATAAACAGTATTTATTGGCTGTTAATAATTTTACCAGTAAAGCCAATAAAATTAATACTGTTTACAAAAGATTCCTTTTTAGGGAAAGTGCAGGTCAACATACGTATAATAAATGTAGTAGCCTAAGGATTTATCGCAATTACATATCATCAAGAGTCCATAATCCCCCAGAGTGCGCAACTGGGATGGGGTTGTGGCACGGCGTAATCCGTGACGTACGTCACGTTTTGGGTCGGACTTGCCTCATTCCATCGACGACGCCGACACGCAGTGCAGCACAGTTCACACTTCCCCTACCCGCGATGTCGTTATTATGACGTGCAACACGGATTTCGCTGTCCCAGATCTGATAAGTAAAGATGTGCACTCTGGGGGTTATGCACTCTTGATACCAGTTGTAAAAACCTCGGGGCACCTCGGTTTTTATACAGTCATGTGCTTATAACCTCTATAAGATGAACGAAAAAAGGAAACCTATCCTGAGCAACTGCCACTTGCTCTTCTCGCAATGTTCTCCTTTGGGGCAGATGCATTTCCCTTGGTCGTTGCACTCACCCTGGTTCACACACTTGCACACTGCAGAAGTGGTAAAATACCACCGATTGTGTTTCCCACACAGCACAGCATGGGAAAGAAAGGGGACAGGATTAGATTCGGTTAGTGGTAACCGAGTTACAGAATATCGACAACAGGAATTCAGAATCTCACTTCCAAGGCAAGCATAAATGGACGGGGCAACGAGCAAGACCAATCAAAGGAGCCTTAGCAGTTTCTTTATGTCTGCGTTGGAAGTCTCAATATAAGGTCAACTTAGTGCGGAACCTTGTAAATCGTGCGAAGCGTATGTGTTCGCCCTGCAAGCTGCAGGAGGAGCTTGATTTTTTCCGTTCAGTGTTCGTGAAGAACGGTTACCCTAAGTTCCTGTTGCAGCACCTATACTTAATGTCTTTGGGGATAGAAGTCGAACAATGTTCGTCTTATGAATGTCACCACGGTGAGGAAAATATGGCACTAAAAAACAGACACACGCCCGTGTTATATCTCCAAAAACGAAACCCTAGCAGGACACCCCAAACTTACCGGGTGCAGTGGTTGCCGCCTCAGTGGTTGCTGCCTCGGTGGTTGCTGCCTCGGTGGTTGCTGCTTCGGTGGTTGCTGCCAGGGTGGTTGCAGGAGAAGTGGTTGCTCCCTCAGTGGCTACTGCATCAGTGGTTGCTGCATCAGTAGTTGCTGCCTCAGTGGTTACTGCTGCAGTAGTTGTTGCATTAGTGGTTTCTGCCTGGGTGGTTACTGCCTTGGTGGTTGGTGATTCAGTGGTTGTTGCATCAGGGGTTGCTGCATCAGTGGTTGCTGCAGCAGTGGTTGCTGCAGCAGTGGTTGCTGCAGCAGTGGTTGCTGCAGCAGTAGTTGCTGCCTCGGTGGTTGCTGCCTCGGTGGTTGCTGCCTCGGTGGTTGCTGCCTCGGTGGTTGCTGCCTCGGTGGTTGCTGCCTCGGTGGTTGCTGCCTCGGTGGTTGCTGCCTCGGTGGTTGCTGCCTCGGTGGTTGCTGCCTCGGTGGTTGCTGCCTCGGTGGTTGCTGCCTCGGTGGTTGCTGCCTCGGTGGTTGCTGCTTCGGTGGTCGCTGCCTTGGTGGTCGCTGCCTCGGTTGTCGCTCCCTCGGTGGTTGCTGCCTTGGTGGTAGGTGGTTGTGGCCTTGTTGGTTTGGTTGCTGCATCAGTGGTTGCTGCAGAAGTGGTTGCTCCAGCAGTGGTTGCCACAGAAGTGGATGCTGCATCAGAGGTTGCTGCATCAGTGGTTACTGCATTAGTGGTTACTGCCTTGGTGGTTGCTGCCTCGGTGGTCGCAGCCTCGGTGGTCGCTGCCTTGGTTGTCGCTGCCTCGGTGGTTGCTGCCTTGGTGGAAGGTGGTTGTGGCCTTGTTGGTTTGGTTGCTGCATCAGTGGTTGCTGCAGAAGTGGTTGCTCCAGCAGTGGTTGCCGCAGAAGTGGTTGCTGCATCAGTGGTTGCTGCATCAGTGGTTGCTGCCTCGGTGGTTGCTGCCTCGGTGGTTGCTACCTCGGTGGTTGCTACCTCGGTGGTTGCTACCTCGGTGGTTGCTACCTCGGTGGTTGCTACCTCGGTGGTTGCTACCTCGGTGGTTGCTACCTCGGTGGTTGCTACCTCGGTGGTTGCTGCCTCGGTGGTTGCTGCCTCGGTGGTCGCTGCCTTGGTGGTCGCTGCCTCGGTTGTCGCTGCCTCGGTGGTTGCTGCCTTGGTGGTAGGTGGTTGCGGCCTTGTTGGTTTGGTTGCTGCATCAGTGGTTGCTGCAGAAGTGGTTGCTCCAGCAGTGGTTGCCGCAGAAGTGGTTGCTGCATCAGATGTTCCTGCATCAGTGGTTGCTGCCTTGGTGGTTGCTACCTCGGTGGTTGCTACCTCGGTGGTTGCTGCCTCGGTGGTTGCTGCCTTGGTTGTCGCTGCCTCGGTTGTCGCTGCCTCGGTGGTTGCTGCCTTGGTGGTAGGTGGTTGTGGCCTTGTTGGTTTGGTTGCTGCATCAGTGGTTGCTGCATCAGTGGTTGCTGCAGAAGTGGTTGCTCCAGCAGTGGTTGCCGCAGAAGTGGTTGCTGCATCAGTGGTTGCTGCATCAGTGGTTGCTGCAGCAGTAGTTGCTGCAGCAGTAGTTGCTGCCTCGGTGGTTGCTGCCTCGGTGGTTGCTGCCTCGGTGGTTGCTGCCTCGGTGGTTGCTGCCTCGGTGGTCGCTGCCTCGGTGGTCGCTGCCTCGGTGGTCGCTGCCTCGGTGGTTGCTGCCTTGGTGGTAGGTGGTTGTGGCCTTGTTGGTTTGGTTGCTGCATCAGTGGTCGCTGCAGAAGTGGTTGCTTCAGCAGTGGTTGCTTCAGCAGTGGTTGCCGCAGAAGTGGTTGCTTCAGCAGTGGTTGCCGCAGAAGTGGTTGCTGTATAAGAGTTTGCTGCATCAGTGGTTACTGCATCAGTGGTTGCTGCCTCGGTGGTTGCTACCTCGGTGGTTGCTGCCTCGGTGGTCGCTGCCTCGGTGGTCGCTGCCTCGGTGGTCGCTGCCTCGGTGGTTGCTGCCTTGGTGGTAGGTGGTTGTGGCCTTGTTGGTTTGGTAGCTGCATCAGTGGTTGCTGCAGAAGTGGTTGCTCCAGCAGTGGTTGCCGCAGAAGAGGTTGCTGCATCAGAGGTTGCTGCATCAGTGGTTACTGCATCAGTGGTTGCTGCCTCGGTGGTTGCTACCTCGGTGGTTGCTGCCTCGGTGGTTGCTGCCTCGGTGGTCGCTGCCTCGGTGGTCGCTGCCTTGGTTGTCGCTGCTTCGGTGGTTGCTGCCTTGGTGGTAGGTGGTTGTGGCCTTGTTGGTTTGGTTGCTGCATCAGTGGTTGCTGCAGAAGTGGTTGCTCCAGCAGTGGTTGCCGCAGAAGTGGTTGCTGCATCAGAGGTTGCTGCATCAGTGGTTGCTGCCTTGGTGGTTGCTACCTCAGTGGTTGCTGCCTCAGTAGTTGATGCGTTGGTGGTTGCTGCCTGGGTGGTTTCTGCCTGGATTGTTGCTGTGTCAGTGGTTGCTGCATGGGTGGTCGCCCCAGAAGTGGTTGCTTTCTTAGTGGTCGTTGCATAAGTGGTTGTTGCGCTGGTGGTTGCTGCCTGGGTGGTTTCTGCCTGGATTGTTGCTGTATCAGTGGTTGCTGCATGGGTGGTAGCTGCAGAAGTGGTTGCTCCCTTAGTGGTCGATGCATAAGCGGTTGTTGTGTTGGTGGTTGCTGCCTCAGTGGTTGCTGCCTCAGTGGGTGCTGCCTCAGTGGTTGCTGCATCAGTAGTTGATGCGTTGGTGGTTGCTGCCTGGGTGGTTTCTGCCTGGATTGTTGCTGTATCAGTGGTTGCTGCATGGGTGGTCGCTGCAGAAGTGGTTGCTCCCTTAGTGGTCGCTGAATAAGTGCCTGTTGCGTTGGTGGTTGCTGCCTCAGTGACTGTTGCGTTGGTGGTTGCTGCCTCAGTGGTTGCTGCCTCAGTGGTTGCTGCCTCAGTGGTTGCTGCATCAGTGGTTGCTGCATCAGTGGTTGCTGCATCAGTGGTTGCTGCATCAGTGGTTGCTGCATCAGTGGTTGCTGCATCAGTGGTTGCTGCATCAGTGGTTGCTGCATCAGTGGTTGCTGCATCAGTGGTTGCTGCATCAGTGGTTGCTGCATCAGTGGTTGCTGCATCAGTGGTTGCTGCATCAGTGGTTGCTGCATCAGTGGTTGCTGCATCAGTGGTTGCTGCATCAGTGGTTGCTGCATCAGTGGTTGCTGCATCAGTGGATGCTGCATCAGTGGTTGCTGCATCAGTAGTTGCTGCATCAGTGGTTGCTCCAGCAGTGGTTGCAGCATCAGTGGTTGCTGCAGAAGTGGTTGTTGCTGCAGCAGTGGTTCGCACAGAAGTGGTTGCTGCCTCAGTGGTTGCTGCATCTGTGGTAGCAGCATCAGTGGTTGCTGCATCTGAGGTAGCAGCATCAGTGGTAGCAGCATCAGTGGTTCCTGGGTGTTTTGATGAAGTTCGTGTTGAGGTATTGTAGGGCGTGGTGGTGGTGGCAGCAGCAGATATAGTGGTTGCTGCATCCGTGGGCGTTTTGGTGAAGACAGTGTTGGATTTGGTGGTTGTGGCGGATGCGGTGGTTGCGGCATCCGTGGGTGTTTCGGTTGAGGTAGTTGTGGTATTGGAGGATGCGGTGGTTGCGGTATTTGTGTGTGTTATGCTAGATGTAGTCAGTGCGTGCACTGTGGGTGCAGTATTCTTCGAGGTAGTCTCGTGTGCTTTGGTTGCGGTGGTCGTGGGCACTGGGCTGTCATCGCCAGAGCCTGTATTGGTGGAGCCCGACTCCTCGTCGGGTGTTCGGTGAGTGACTGTGGTAGCCGGTGTAGCAGTCGGGGGATGACTGTAAGAGATGAACCTGGCCGAGGTGGTTGGAGTTGGGGCCTTGGCCGGTGTGGTGGTTGCGGCGTCCGTGGGTGTTTCGGCTGAGGCAGTAATGGTTGGTGTGTACGTTGGAATATTCATGGGCACCGTAGGTAGATTGCAGGGGACAATGTTCGTCTCGTTGATTACTGGTTGGGAGAAAGCAAAAAAACAACAGAAGAAGAAAGTACTTGCCAGCATGTTAATTATTTGCCCGGCAGTGCGTCCACTTAGTAGCCTGACATCCGGTTGCTCAAATCCAGCTATCCTTTCTGGAGCAAGAGTCTTCACTTTTGAACCATCCAGAGAGATGCTCACTAATATGGTAAAATACCGTGTGGAGATCGTGTCCGCTTGAAGGTAAATCGAGTACGGATTGACTGCACGACGTGCACTCTGTGTACAAGGTTCATATCGTCTGACCTGCAGACAGGACACCACCTCCACAATGCAATCACGAAAAGACGAGATGGTTGGGGGCCCTTGCAGTACTTTACGGTATATTTATTGTGGAATTTCTGCTGCGAAAATGCAATGCGATTCCCAAATACATAATGTTCCTGCCTACTAAGGTACTTGAATACAAACTTCACACTGCATGTCTTGAGCAGTCTGTCACATCTTGCTATGGCCGCGGATTGCCAGCATTCGACTGGTCACAATGAATGCCCGCCGAGTGCCGCTGTGTGAACGTGCCTTTCTTCAGTTCCCGCTAAGAGGGGACATTACCCATTCCCTCTAAACGTTGTGCAAGTATCCAAGTACATGTATCAGCAATGTAGGCTCTTTTGATGTGAATGGAAGGTCAAAATTCAAAATTCAATAGAACTCGATCTATAACTGCCGAATGACCGAGGAAGTCACAATGGTTGTTAGATAAAGCCAGCAATGCCTTCTGTGTAGAACAGTGCCTAGCACTGAGCAGCATGTCACTCAATATAGTGACTTGTACATTCATACAACCCCTATATTTTGTCCTTTTCCTCGTTTCTTTTTGTTCTCCATCTGTTTTCCAGTACGGCCGTCTATAGTAAAAAAATAAATAAATAAACATCATGAGCTTACATGAGTTGAACATAGCTCACTGTATTCGAAACGTTCTCAACAACTGCTCAGTGTCTCTGACACGGAGCATGTTAGCGTTAAAACATAAAATAAAAAAGCATTGATAGTGACTTACGCTTCTGGCAATAGTCTCCGGTGAATCCTTCTGGGCAGGAGCATGCACCATTGTCGTCGCACTGACCCTGGTTCAAGCACTTGCACGCTGCAGCGCCGATTGGATATGCAGCCACGGTGTGTACAGAATACGGCAGAATACAGACAAAAGCACAGGATTTTAGTACTGGAAATTGAGGCATTCACCAAACACAGAGTGGCACATCGCCACTTTTCAAAACAACGATTGATTAAGCATTGAGGCAAATGGCAATCAGACAATTCCATTAGCTTCAATTATGTCTGTTGGCGTACGAAAAACCAGGCTTACTCAATTCTAGACACCATTTTAACAATATGTGGCATGGCCAAGGCTGGACTGGTCTGACGAATTCCCAATACTCTTCTATTCCCAACTGTCTTGTTACTGTTCTAATGTTTCTCGGCAATGTATGTTCTTTGATAAAAGTCAAATTCTGACTTACGTTTTTCACAATGTTTATCATAATACACGGATCGGTCACAAGTACAACTGAGGTCCTCTTCAATTTCACCACCACCACAGTAATCTGCACGAAAAGTACACGCACACACACACACACAGAAAAAGAGATAGAAAGAAACATACTGAGAAAGAGAAAGAGAAAGAGAGAGAGAGAGAGAGAGAGAGAGAGAGAGAGAGAGAGAGAGAGAGAGAGAGAGAGAGAGAGAGAGAGAGAGAGAGAGAGAGAGAGAGAGAGAGAGAGAGAGAGAGAGAGAGAGAGAGAGAGAGAGAGAGAGAGGGAGGGAGGGAGGGAGGGAGGGAGGGAGGGAGGGAGGGAGGGAGGGAGGGAGGGAGGGAGGGAGGGAGGGAGGGAGGGAGGGAGGGAGGGAGGGAGGGAGGGAGGGAGGGAGGGAGGGAGGGAGGGAGGGAGAGAGAGGGAGGGAGAGAGAGAGAGGGAGAGAGAGGGAGGGAGAGGGAGGGAGAGGGAGGGAGGGAGGGAGAGAGGGAGGGAGAGAGGGAGGGAGGGAGGGAGGGAGGGAGGGAGGGAGAGATAGAGAGATAGAGAGATAGAGAGAGAGAGAGAGAGAGAGAGAGAGAGAGAGAGAGAGACAGATGGAGAGACAGATGGAGAGACCGGGACATTCACCAGGGATCTTCGAGTTACAGTGTCAAAAACATGTTCGGACAAAGTCAGCCATTGAGACAGCAATCCAGATACAACAAGAAGATGATGGGATTTTGAGTTTCACACGCGAGGTGATCATTAGACAACAGCAATGGACTATTCTGTTTTAACACTGTTCATCTGGCTGGGCATCACCCTCACCTCTGGGGTTGCTCCCCACATTCGCGTTGCGTTCACATGCTATGGAATTGAGTTCAGGAAATACATGAAATAGATGAAATCTCACTTACGGAAACAGAAGATAGCCGCTTTGCCGTCGCCCGGGCCATGTGCAAATGTTGGCTTGCTATGATCCTCTTCAAATGTAACAGTGCGGTGACGCTGCTGTCCGTTGACCAGTGTCGGTGCAAGGTGATAAGGAGTGTGTGGCTCCAGAGACAGCGGAAGTGCCCAGCGCATTGGCAGTACACGACGGCCGTGCTTCTGAACCCAGTCCTCAGTTACCAGATGCAGTCCGTACTGCTGACAGGCTTCCTCGGCAAAGTCCACTGTGACCGTGAGCTGATGGGCGGGCTGTGCCATTGCGTACGTCGCACTTTTCACTTGAAGCCATTTGGCTGCAGGCAAGAGCAGAGGCAGAGGCAGGCAGAGTACACATTATTTACATCGTGGAACAAATCCGAAGAAGGGCCCTACACCAGTATCTACCGTAGTGTTACTGTAGGCTGATAGTGTAGGCTGATAGTGTAGGCTGATAGTGTAGGCTGATAGCGTAGGCTGATAGTGTAGGCTGATAGTGTAGGCTGATAGTGTAGGCTGATAGTGTAGGCTGATAGTGTAGGCTGATGTTCGTACAGAGTAGGTACACACAGTGTATGTACAGTACAACCTGGTGCAAGCCACCTCTGGGTTTAGCCACCACCTGCTCTTAACCACCGTTTTTCCATGCACCCACAGTTCTACACAGACACTGTGGGACCTGGCTCTAAAGACCACCTGGCTTTAGCGACCGCTTTTGCTTGCACCGTGGGGAGGTCGCTTAAACCAGGTGTTTACTGTACAGTAAGTCAGTGTAGGGCGATGTTCGCACTGAGTTTACATACCGTGCGGGAACACAATCAGACCCCGCTTAACCGCAGACATCCGTTTTCCACCAAAAATATCCGGAGAGGCGAGGGAACTGCTTAATCGAACACACCTACTGTACATGTATGTATGCATGGCATGTGCTGTAAATCGGTAACCAACGATGTTCTTCCGGATGGCGAGGGATCCGGATAAAAGAGGACCGCATAAGCGAGATCTGACTGTACTGGCTCAGTGGTTTGAACAATTGCACCGCTGAGGCCACTGGGGACGGGTTTCATCTGACTTATAACGGTTGAATTATAATGGCTAGGGGGTGTCATCGATTGGCGAATCTGGATTGAGTGCGAACTCGGTGTGGGGGCCGGTGTGGTCGATTTCCACTCCAAGAACACCTACTCCGGATCCGGCCGAATTCGGCCAATCAATCACGCTCACTCGGAGCGCACTTGCTCGGGATTCGTCCAATCGATCATGCCCTAGATGAGCATACCAGAATGATTTTTCGGAAACAAAATTGTCAGAGAACTCAAGAAAAAGAACGACCGTCAGGGTTTGTAGCTTCTTTTCAAGCTCCGCGCTTTTGTTACGGAGTCTGGTGCTCGTTCCCTTATCGAGTTTCAAGATGGCCGAGACTGTTCATCTCCAGGGGCATGTGGTCGTCAGGCTGCATCAGCGGACAATCTTCTATGAGCAGATTGGCCATGGATGTGATTACGCGTTCTGCCTATACTGTATAATGAACAGTGCTGGCAACTGAAATCCGACCCCCCTAGCGTCTCGTACGGATCGCTAACGCAGCTAGCGCACCGCTAGGGGGGGGGGGGTCGGATTTCAGTTGCCAGCACTGTACATTGTACAGTACATGCGTATCGCGGGCTATCGACAAGTGTACAAACTGTCATAACTCAGTCAACATATCTCGGATGTCTTACGTTGAGACACCCCTTCCGCCAGCGTGTGCTCCCGTGCGTACTGCATTTTGTTGCCAACTTGCAAACTGGCAAAGGGAAAGTATCTTTTCAGATGGGATCCTTTAATGGCTAGTGCAGAGGGCCAAATCGGTAGGTGTGAAAGTAGGAAACACAGGTCGCAGGGGTTTCTCTAACACGTTTAAAAAATTGAAACTACGCACCCAGTTCATAAAACAAGAAAGAGGAAGCAAATGACAAAACATCAGTCTCACAATACATTGACTGAATGGCGCTGCAATGCAAGGCAGCGGTGGCGATGGTGAGCTGCAGGCTCCGATCTGTCCATGGCAAAGCCACTGTCCCTACCCCTACCCGATCCGTTCGCCGCTTTCTACTGTCCTCCAGATGTAGCCTCAGCCAATCTCGTAACATCTTTCCACTACGTTGCCCATACCAAACACTACAAATACCAGACATACTACTGCTAACATGTACAAGACAAGCATCTGCTGATTTGCCATTTTTCATTTCTGCATCTTCCTTGCTGACATCATGCCATCGTGGAGTTATCACCTTAAAGAAGCAAACGCCTACCTTCGCAGACGACATGGTGATGCTGCGATCCATGAGGATCAAGTATTGCTTGCGTGTAGCCGTTTGTGTTCTGCAGATAGATAAGATGTTGATGCTGCTCGATGTACGATGTCCAGATGGTGATGGGGTTGCTGTAGCTGCTGACCATCATCCTCCCGAGCAATCCTCCCATGCAGCCACGCACGTTGAGCTTGCTCGAGAGGAAGGCGGTGTATTCCGGCACGTCGTACCCTCTTCTCTGGCACATCTGGCGTGCATGTGCCAGATTGGTCTTCTCGTGGCAGTTGCTCTCGCCCAAGTGTGGATGACAGGGCAAACCGGCGAGGGCTGTCCAGGTGTATACTGCCTGATTGGTACCCAGACATTTCGTCTTAAGATCTGAACAGGACACAATACCAAAGCAGACCACATTCAGACACTGAATTTACTCGATCAAGACTTGCACTTCCTTCATTCTGATATCGGAGTTAATTTCAAAACACAAGCGAACACTTAGGAACGCTGCACGCAAATTTCGATGACATAGGAAGACTTTGGGTTTTGAAGTTTTGAATAAAATCGTGCAGCTGTCCAGGAGTGATAAGTGTAAGTTTGGCCAGCTTTTATTTTACTCTGCTTGGCATGTATAGAGCTGTTTCAAGGTTGGACCAACGGCTACTTTTGGGGTCACGTGCGAGAAATATTTAAATCACTGGTGAACAGGCGAAGCCCAGTTCACGTTCACTTTGTATGGGAATGGAAGTGTAGAGGTGAAAGCAAGAGTACATAACCCCCCAGCGTGTGCAACTCCCACATACCCTGCTGTCCCGACAGAATTTCAAGTTTGGCGTCATTATTTATGACGCAATGCTCCTTGCGCCAGTGATTTACAACATGTGTACGGGTGTCAACGCATTACACGTTTTTTTCTTTTCAATAATTTGTACAGGATCAGATCGGCTTCGGTCAACCACAGGTTCCGGATTCGTCTGATAATTTTTTTTTTTTTGAATTCGCAATACCAAACAGGCAATAAGCCCAATTACATGGAAGCGAATAAAAGAATGCTAAGAATGAGACATTGGAGTGGATATTATTTCAAGTGGAAATACTGATCCCGGGAGGTACTACAAATAGGTACAATGAAAATCTGAAAAGGCCATGGTACTGTCGTTTACCATGCTGGAAGCAGCTACATGTAGAAGAAAAAACAACAAGAAAGACGTTTATCTCATGTATTGGACAAACAGAGCTAACAGGAGAAGACCGTTCGTTATATGCCTATACATACTGTCCGTGTGTGTGTGTGTGTGGGGGGGGGGGGGGATTGTCACTGTTTCTCTTCTTTAAAAACGTTTATGGCCTGAGAGTGTACGGGTACACGGCTGCTGCGAAATCGGACACGGCTTTGCAGGAACGTACACTGGCTGGCAGAGTGTTCCACAGCGCAGGTCCACGGGAACGGTCGGCGAGTGCCTGTATTTGTCCTGGCCAGCGGGAGAATGAGCCGGGCGTTGACTTGATGTCGAGTTGGGGCCGTGGTTGCGGGCGTCAGCTGCTTTGAAAGCGCTGTACTACATTGGCCGTTCAGGCCGCGCCAGATGAGATCGAGGAGTCGGTGGTGGTGTGTCTCCTCGATTTTGCGGAGGGATATGCAGATGCGGAACAAGACATCAGTGGAGTCCACGACAGCTGCAACGACAACTGAAACAACTCAGTGTCGTGCAGGCGGCATGCACTCACTGTAACTGTGAGTGATGTTCACTTTGCGCTGGACTGGACTCTCGATCGACCAGGGAGTCGTAAAAAAATTTCCGACTCCCCGTACTGCCAGGTGTACGGATTACGGTGTTCGTTAGTGCAAACGAGCTGGACGCACAAACGAGCCGAGTTTCTGGCGACAGCACCCATAGTCGAGTTGCACCCTCTGGGGGGGTTATGTAGTCTTGGTGAAAAAGAAGCAGTAGAATGGCGCTTCACTTCATGTCTGACACACGTGATGAGTCAGAGCAGTTGCCAGGAAGCGGCCTTCCATGGCTTGGGCGAAAATGAACAAGCTTCAGAATCGCTCCAAGCACTGGTGGAGACGAACGGTCACATTTCGTATACTTTTCAATGCGTTTTGACATGCGACCTGTTCACCACAATCTCGGGGTGAGCGCCGGGGGCGGTGCCGGGCACAGCATCCTTGTGTCACATTGTCGCATGTATGTCACGTATCACAACAGCACACACACAGCAGCAGCAGCAGCAGCACACACACGCACATGCACACACCCACACACATGCATGCACACACACACACACACACACACACACACACACACACACGCACACACCCACGCACACACCCACACACATGTATGCACACACACATGCATGCACACACACATGCATGCACACACACACACACATGCACGCACATACATGCACACACACACACACACACTCAAATTCACACGCACATGCACACGCACATGCACACACACACACACACACACACACACCTTTGACCTTTGACGCCCATCGCCGGAGGCGATGATAGCAATGCTACGGCAGAAGCCATAGCAACTTGTGCTGGGATTACACCATTCAACAGCTTGCAAGGCTGAAGAATTGACCGTCACTATTCAGCCTGGTCTACACCATACAGCTATTTGGAGTGACATTTTCTGGCCAGTGAATCCCTTTTTTGGTCTTTTTCATTTTTTTTTTACACACACACACGCACACACACACACGCACACACGCACACACACACACTTACACACACACACACGCACACACAGACGCACACACACACACACACACACCAAAGAAACGTGTGTGCATGTACACTTCATTTCAATAGCAGATACTTACTGTCTTGACATTGGTCTCCGTGGAATCCTCTCCGGCAGCTGCATGTGCCGTCCTGTTCACACCGGCCATTATTCAAGCAATGGCATACTGGAGTAGTGATACAGTGTATTCAACAAACACACACACGAATAGAGACAGAACACCATAGCTTATCAGGGCGAAATACAGAACCAAAGTTAGGGGGGGGGTATGTTTTGTGAAATTGAAGGAATTAGAACCATACTAACAATCTTACATCCCAGCAGGAAGGGTGAACTAGTGGATTTAGATAGAAATTTCTGCATGGACTTTTATGGCATAGCGTTGTGGGCGAGGAAAGTGGCGTTGTTTCGAAGGCCATGGCATACGGTAGACAGTAAAACTTGTGACTAACGACCACCCCTTGGGGCCAGAGAAAGCCGTCTTTAGTGGCCGGTGGTCCTTAGTTAGAAGTTTGCACCGCGCAACCATATGTGAATGTGAGACCGTCCACGCCTGGCGAAGTGGTCCGTAGTACCAGGCCGGTCGCTAGTCTCGGTGGTCTTTAGTTACAGGTTTTACTGTAAATTCATCGGCCACTGGGAATCGCAATGAGTACAGTTTTCCGGGGCAAGTGATGATTATTGGATGCAATGGCTCCAACAGTACTGTGCCAATGTACAGGTCCATGATGTGTACTCGTCAGTCATCATGCACATACATAGGCTCCACTCCCACTCTGAGGGGGGGGGGGGGGGGGGGGGATCACTCTCTTTACTAGTTTTTTATTTTTTTTATTTATTATTTATGGATTCTCCAAAGGCCGAGGCCTAAGTCGAGGGGGTCTCCGTTCATGGCTTACTGGGAATATAGATTGAGAAGAGGAAGGGTTATAACAAATGCGTACTGTAGAAATCAGCCATAACATTCGTTACTATGTTATAGAAACTCTGGAAGGAATGAAACCAGCGGGTTCGAAGCGGGTGTTGGCAAAGATGGTACGGACACGAGACACAAAGCAATGACTATTTTGGGTGGTTCTAATGTCAGTGGGGAGAGAATTCCAGGTGGCAGCGGTAGAAGGGGGGGGGGGGGGAGGGATAAGTGAAGTAGGGTGCAGCACCCTATTGGATGCTGGTATTTTATATACAGTATAAAAAGTATTTATCGGCTCAAAAGACTATGAATGCTGTTTATGAAATACCACTTAGGCTAATAAATACTGTTTGTAAAATACTCCCTTTTTAGGGTAAAGTGCAGTGCTGCATGGATAAGTGCAGTGGTATTTATTAAGTCAAAGTAAATTTATTTCAATTTGATACTGTTGATGGTGTAGGCACTAATGAGTGCGGGTATTTATCGAACGTCAATATAAATGTATTAGTCGGTTTACTTGAATGGGACGAAGGCACACGAAGGCATTACCAGTGCCTCAAACGCACAGCATACATGCACCCATGAGTCGTACAGTCTTTGACAGGCAAGAGCTAACAATACAACAGTTTTCCTCTGTCCTTACCTTCTGTGCAGTGCTCTCCGAACACTCCTTCCTTGCATTGACACTCTGAGTTCTTTCTCACCCAGTTACTTTCGCACAAGGCTGTGTTATATATCACAAGGAAGAGGAACAAGGGAGTAAGAGGTGCAATAGAGCCATACACAGAGATGCACAGACAAGGGTTTCATGGTGAGAGAAGAAGAATAAAACACCGCTCGACCCCTGTGAAGCGGGAAGTATCCTGTGCGAGGCAGAGCAAAGGCAGCCGCAACCAAACACGGATGGCGTTGTTCTAGGTACCAACCAAACTTTCCCAGACTCACATGAGAAGGATGCTTTGGAGAGTCTCCTAAAATTCAGAGAGAATATAAGAGCACTTCTCGAACTTTCCCGAAAGGCTCGAAATTTTCCCAGAGGATTTGAGAACGCACCCTAAGTATTCTAAAATGAATTCATCTACAAGATCAGCCAGGAGAGTGAACTGCCTGAAAAGAGAAAAATGTCGGACCCACCAGGACTCAAACCTGGCACCTTGGGCAATGCTCTAACCATCTGAGCTATGGGACCAGGCTGAACCTAGAAGGCGTTGAGAAGTTTACGACAGTTCTCCCAATCCGTTCAAAATTCATCTTTACTTACAGAATTGGCACTTGTCTCCGGTGAATCCTTCTCGGCAGCTGCATTTACCCTCGCTATCACACCGGCCCTGGTTCAAGCATGTGCATGCTATGGACACGGTCAGGCATACAGTGGAGACAACATCACAGCGCAAGACAGAATAAAAAAAACATGGCAATTTATTCATAGAGCATTGGGAATAAAGCAGTTCGACAGCAAAACGTCACCAGCGAATAAGCCTGAGTGTCCACTTGATAAAGGGATCTAGGGATCATGATCAGACTGCGCAGACGCTAGCCTTCGGAGAGTACGTAGCGAGAAATCTACTCGTGGCACGTCTGGTTTCTCTGTATGCCGAGTTGCGCCCATGTGGCGACTTTGTCCTGCTTTCACAATACTGAAAGTGGTGCAGGTAACGGTGGACCGGTCAACTGGCGTTGGCCATGATACATACCGTATTTTACCGGTTGTAAGTCGACCCCGGTTATAAGTCGACCCCCCTATCTGGAGGTCTCAATTCTGCGTTTTAAAGTTTTCACCCAAAGAAGCACTACTAACCACCTCCTGCTACTAACACATCAACAAATCATGTAAACATTTCTTATTGGAGGATATAACGTCCCAATCTTTGAAAAAAGCCAATCAACTGGCAAAAATGTATAAACATGGTGCACTCGTGCATGCAGTGCAGGTCATTTTTTGTAAGATACTGATAGTTCCCGGTTATAAGTCGAATCCCGGTTGTAAGTCGACCCCCACCCTTTCTCCTTCAATTTTAAGTCGTAAAAGGTCGACTTACAACCGGAAAAATACGGTACCCGTTTCCCGACTGTCATTTCAGTGTTGTACTCAGACTTTGAATGATGTGTGCTCAGATTATTTTTGAAGAAAAGTGTTTTATTTGCCGGCCACTCTTACCCTTTTCACACTGTTCACCATAGGACGTGTGGGGGTTACACATACAACTCGTGTTCGGCGCAAGAACACCGCTCCCACAGGACTCTGCGCAGAAAACGAAAGCAAACAGCTCAATAGCACAAGTTCCATTCCGCACCCCAGGCTGATGCAGGATCACAGGATCACAGGATATTATAGTTTTACTAGGTTTTGCAGATTGAGTACTAGGTTTTATTCATTCGAGCCGACGAGACCACACGACGCTTGCAGACCACAGTACGAAAGTAAGATGGCAACAAAGAATTATGATTATCATATCCACTTGCGCTCGACTTGAGGACGGCAGCTCAGAAAGCGTCATCATTGTCATCGCCATGAACAACCACTGGGTAATTCTAAAGCCCTGTTGGTACAAGTCGGGGTGGCAAAAGGCAGGGGTGTCCGAACCGGTGCTGCAGATGCGGCTTTGGCCGCGCCAATACAATTCCCTGTGATTTTTTAAGCAATAAGATATGGTCTGTTTGCCCCCCCCCCCCATCATAGTCGCACCAATGCAGAGTACCTTCTGACAGCCTGCATTGAAGTAAGGGATGTTGGCGCAAATCCTGTTGCCACAAGATACATTTTAAAACAACAAATGGCCACGCACATCATGTTGTTGGCAGGTACAAAAGCATGATTGGGAATTGCAAGCCGTTGGTGGAGCCAGCCATTAGTTTTCATCTCACTTACTGACACAGAGGATTTGGGCTCGCTGATTGCTTTCGGCATCATCATACAACAGACCCTCCGTAGTAAACTTTACGGTTTTGTGAACCAACTCTCCGTCTATCTCGACCGATCTGACGTGGTAGGGATGGTGCGTGGGTTTGTTCTCCAGGGCTAATGTATTTAGCCAGCGGTCTACCAGTGCATCGCCGTGTACTTCCAGCCAGGCCATGCTGATGAGGCGAAGTCCATACTGCAGACACGCTTCCTCGGCGAAAGGCTCCGTTACGATACTCCTCGATGATGGTGTTGCCGCGGCGTACACAGAGTCGTTAGCGTGAAGCCATTGGGCTGCAAGACAAGGGCAAGTACAGAGGCGGGTAGAGGGTAAGCTTAAATACTGTATAAGCAGAAATATTCGTCTAGGATTTAATTTCGTCGTTTCATCCGAGGGGCGTTTGGACTAAATTAAAAGCCGGACTGATGTCGATTTGTCCAGCCCTCCAATGTAATCTTATGGTCCATGGATTAAACTTTCAACCGGACAAACTCCCTTTCTCTGGAGTTGGACGAAATTGTTGACCGACTGAATTTTCTAGGGCTTCAACGGGTTGGGGTTTGATCGGGTAACATGTTCGGGTATTTTTATCCGGGTAGCACGGGTACCCTGTCGGGTATTTTTACCCGGGTAGCACGGGTACCCTGTCGGGTATTTTTACCCGGGTAGCACGGGTACCCTGTCGGGTATTTTTATCCGGGTAGCACGGGTACCCTGTCGGGTATTTTTATCCGGGTAGCACGGGTACCCTGTCGGGTATTTTTATCCGGGTAGCACGGGTACCCTGTCGGGTATTTTTATCCGGGTAGCACGGGTACCCTGTCGGGTATTTTTGACATAGTTTGTACTGTGAGTATGCACATGTGCTGCTCAGAAAGTGTAAAGTGTAAAGTGTACAGTAGCACATAGCCATGCTGTTTACATGCCCCGTTGCAAAAACAACGTACTCCAGCTACCTGATCGGGTTCTCAGGAGCAAATTGCTACCCTCCAACCTGATCAAATTACGGGTAGCACGGGTACCCTGCTACTCGTTGACACCCCTAGGGATTCAGGAAGCGCATTAAAGCGGTCAGCACCAAGGAATGAGATATGTTTGAATCCAGCTGGAGTTTGCACGAGTAAAGAAAGGGAAATATTGACTTGGCTATGTAGGGGTACGCTTCACATCACTGTTTACTGGAACTCAACTACAGTCCATTCATAAAAAATTAGGGCTGAGTCGGGTAGCATTTTCTTCGGGTATCGGGTTCAGTTAGTTTTCCACGGGTAGCACGGGAACCCGATCGCATAATTTCCCATTGTAACACCACAATGCACCCCTTCCCTTATACACTGGGTAAATTAATTCGAAGGGATTCGGGAAGCGCATTAAAGCGGACAGCACCGAGGAATGAGATATATTTGTATCCAGCTGGAGTTTGCATAACGAGTAAAAAAAGGCAAATATTGACTTGACTATGTAGAGGTACGCTCCCTCATTAGTTCACATCACTGTTTACTCGAACTCAACCACAGTCCATTCATAAAAATTAGAGCTGTCGGGTAGCATTTTCTTCGGGTATCGGGTTTGGTTAGTTTTCCAGTTTTTTTTTCGAGACGCAGCAGTGATGGTGGGGCATTGATGACCCTGCCGACCTGAGGTCTCGGCGTCACGGCCAAAAACACGCACCAAAAACAATGAAAAAAAGAAGAAGAGAGAGATGTACAGGTAAGAAAGATGCAAAAACCCAAGGCTTAACACGAGCGATTGTGGGGGAGAAACTGTCTTAGCATCATACTATTCATAGGGAATCGACTGCCCAGAGCCAGTTTGTGCTGCGAAAATGGCGGTAAACATTCGTTTTGAATGATTGCATTCTCTTGCTGTGGGGAGGCTGGGATAAGAGAGCGGCAGGGAGGGAGTTCCAATCGCTGATGCTGCAGTGTGGGAACGAGCACTTCAGTGCCCAGTAGCACGGGTACCATTGTAACACCACAATGCACCCCTGCCCTTATACACTGGGTAAATATACAGAGTATTACATGACTGTGTGCACGTGCACTGTACGTGACATCATCTGCGACTTCGGGTTTTCGGGCATCATACTGTACCCGTCTATCTGAGGTCCTCACGGGTAGCACGGGTACCCGACTACCCGTGCACTACCCATGCACGCCACTAATAAAAACATTGACAAATAAAATATTGACAATAAGTGGGTCAAACCTAGGTTGCATTTGTTTTTTGTCCACTTGGCACAGTAGAGTAGAGCGGATGTTGAGGCAGTGGGTGATAGATCTACCCATTTTGGTAGAACGTCTACCACTTCTAATGGAAGTAGTTTCTAGCCAAACATGTAGATGAGAACGAACGCCCCCTAGTGTCCCCAGGTCTAGGGCTGAAAAGCGCCTCTCTGCTGTCATTCCTCCTGCCCTGTCCTTATCGTATTCCCCACCCTGTCTACTTCTTCCTAGCTTGCATTCATTGCATTCGTTTTTTCCTATGGTATTACTCATAAAGAGCAATAGCCTACCTGCACAGATGACGTCATGATGGCTTGTTCCATTCGTATCAAATTTTACATCTTTCTCGTCATTCTGGCTGTGCCTGTAAATGACATGCTTTCTATGGTACACAAGACTGGTCCACACGCCAATAGGGTTGCTGTATCCGTGTCCCATCATTTCCTTGAGCAATGCTTCCATGCAGCCACGCACGCCAAGCTTTGGTGTGGTGAAGTGGCCGAAATCGATGACGTTGTATCCTCGACGCCTGCACATCTGCTGGCCTTGACTCAGATCGGTCTTCTTCGCGCGGTTGGGCTCGTCTACGTGCGGATGAGTCGGCAAGCCGGCAAGAGCCATCCAGGTGTACATTACTCCATCTGTCCCTGGGCACATGGTTTTGAGAGCTAAACACAACACAGTGCATATTCAGAACACATTTAGTGGCGGTCTAGCTACATTCTCTCGAAACATGCACACTTGCTCAGTGGAGAATTGAAGAGTTGGTTCGTTAAACCCACCAATTTTGCCAAACACAGTCAGTTCAGATCTCATCAAGATTCCACCACAAGACAAACTTCTACATTCAACACCTGACTAGAACTATTTCAAAACTACCGACTCCTCGTCGGTTATTTAAATACTTTAAACGGAGATACTCTCGCGATATAAGACGGAATGTCCGAGCACTGTGCTTCGCAAGCGTTATGTGCGTGTAGGTGCAGTGAGACAGTGCTGCTTTTCTTTTCATTATTTCAATAATTGATTGACGCACGGTTATCAGTGCACAATTCATTGTATTCATTGCTAACGTACGATTTGAACTTCGCACAACGCATGCGCGTAGCACCGCTGTTGGAGGTGGTCCGGTTTGAGGGGGTCTGGGGGGTGTCCAACGGGGAATTTTTTTGAAATTAGGGTGCAAAACCCTGCATTCTGGGCACTTCTGGGCAAAAAAAGTGGTGCGGCGAAAGCCGGACCGGCTGCTACGCCCCTGAAATCTAAGCATATATGCAGTCCGAATACTAGTATCTGCTAAGATCAAGCACTCCGTTCACTACGGTATTGACCGTACCACTCCTTGTCCCAGGTAGCCCGTGAATCAATCAAATGTACTGATTGGGACTCTAATTTTCGAGAAAAAAATCCGGCAGAGGCGCCACCCCAACCCCATGAGTAAAATCAATAGTACCACCCTAAAAAACCTTCCGACGCCCCTGCAAGCTGATGACTTGTTTCAACAGAGGGGGTCTCTGTCTGATTTTTCAATTTTACTACTCCACTGGTCGCTAAACACGGGCAACCTACATAGAAAAGGAATCCCGAGTTGCACACCCTAGATAGACTTATTATACTATTGATGGCAGGTTGAAACTTGACCCGGCTCCAACTCCAACAGGGTTGAAAACTCTCATGTAACACACAGCCCAAGTACTTGCCACACCTGTTTAGTAAACCGTTTCCTCGGAGACAAGAATGCGATAATACTGAGAAGGAGGGCACATGAAAGTTCACTAGTGAAAATTTTCGAGATGTTGTTCAAGAACCTGAAGTGTACGCATCTCCTCAGTAATATCTCACTGTTGTTTAGTACGGACAGTCTACAACATAATCATTGATCCGAGCTAAGGTATGCTGGGATACAAAGTGCATGGGACTACTATTTAGATGTTTGAACTGCAGTGGTCTTCTGGTCTTCTACAGCATGGAGGCAGGGTTGTTGTCCGTAACTTATGATTTTCATAGCTTTTCACACCCGTGTTCTGGCACATAGTCTGAATGGGGCACGGACGGCACGTGCACTCCCCTACAAATTTCAACCTAAATTCAGGATGCATAATATAACATGCTGATCATGAATGACATGTACCAGCAACAGGCGCGTGCTCGGCGGGGGGCACGGGGGGCACGTGCACCCCCCCAAAATTTTCAATCTGGGTTTTGAAAAAAATAATACTGCACCTCGGATGTGACACGTACACATGCAAACGGCCTTCATGTACACGTACACGTGCAGCGCGAACAAGAATTTTGCACGTAGATCTACACTGTGCACAGCATAAACATTACCTTGCGACAGTCGGATTCTCTCCCGATTTCGATTTCTTGCTTTCAGGTCTCTGGATTCTTTGATTTCTTTCCTGAAGTATGGGTATCTGACTATGACTGAGCTGCTCTTTTCATAATGTCAAATCGACCGCCGTCATTGAAGTCATTGCGCAAAGCTTCCACGCTGCCGCAGCTAACTCTAAGTGAAGCGTTCGGTCGTTCTGCAACTGTTGCTGCGGGAGCTGTTGCTGCAGCGAAAAAATCTGATAATATTTCCTCGAGGGGCGATGAGGGTTCTTCAAGAGGTGAAGAGTCAGACGAAGTGGTAGTAGTTGAAGAGGTCGCAGGAGAAGTAGCCCAGGCTGCCGGGTCTACCGCGGTGGATAAACCCGACGAGGTTGATGTAGTCGCTTCGGGCGGCACTCCAAACGACATTGGAGAAGGCTACAACCTTGCATCACAAAAGTGGACCTGTTTGCCGTCATCGTTGTCCTCTGATGAGAAGTGTCGCTTGGTCGACCACCACTTTGTGCCAGGGCCGAAACACGACTTTCCTGTCCACACAGGAAATGATGGCAGAAACCGTCGTTTTCGTCACCAGTGGCTAGAGGACAACACGTGGCTGGTCTATTCACCCAAATGCGACGGGGGTTTCTGTCTTCCGTGCCTCCTATTTCCCAGTGGTGCGGATCAGGGACAGCTCACAGCAAGACCTATGTCCAACTTCAAAAAGGCCACCACTTTGCTGGACAAACACGGCTCACAGGCAACCCACAAAGACGCCGTTGCCAGGCAGGGCCAGTTCAAAAAGGTCGTGTCTGCTGGGATCCAAGGCAATTGTAATGTATGCGAATATGCTCTAAAATTCAAGAAAGGTTGCAAACAAATTGCAGAAAATTGCCGGGGGGGGGGGGGGGGCTCCCCTCGGCTCCCGTGCACCCCCCTAGTTGGGGGGCCGAGCACGCCCCTGAGCAATCCTACACATAATAATCATGAATGACATGTACCAGCAATCCTACACATAATATATTATGCGCCTGTGCACCCTACCCCCCCCCCCAAAAGAGGGGACCAGCTACGTCCCAGTGTGTTCTTCCTACGGAATATTCTACAAGAGAAGAAAATGATTGCGCTTTGAAAGTCGAAGTCTGAAAGCTGGGTTAGGGGTCAGATCATTGCTGCACAACTTGCACAGTGCTGTTCAATGAAACGAAGATGGAGCGAGTCAGCTTTGCGCCCTGGATCCATGAACATTCCCAGTTTTAGGAGATCCGATGGCTGTAGGACGCGTAGCACGTACAGGTGCCTCCTGATACAACGAACACCATTGTGCAGGAGGATCAGTTCACTATAACAGAATATTTACTTACACTGCAGGCTCAAACTGGGACATGGAAAACTGTTCGCTATATCACGAAATTCGCAAAATGCGTGCTTGTTATAAGTGGAGTCAACTGTACAACACTCGCACAACCAGGAGTTTTTTCGAAGTTTTAAAAGCAGAAAAAAGGAAAGTTTCATTCAGCAATACACGGTACACTTAGTCGGAACTTACGGACACAGGTGTGGGTAACATTGCTTAGGTACTGGCCTTTAGTGCACGCTGCCGCGTTACTTGTGTCCACGACGGACAACACCAGAAGCAAGGAAAGTAGCAGATCAGCTGTTTGTAGAGTCGTCCCCAGCTGTGAAAGACCACAGAGAGACAAACCAGATAAGAGACCACGTTGTAAGAGATGATGCTAGCGAATGCATTGTGTTTGTAACAACGTGATGTCACGTGAGTTAGTCAACTTAGTGGAATACCAATGTGCATTGTTTGATATCCGATGGACTGACTGACTAGTTTTTCATAATTAATTTTTATTTCTCACCAGAGTTGAGATTTTGGTGAGAGGCCCGGAGTAGGCTATTTTATTTGCCTAATTTCTGAACTTCGTGCCTTACCGGAGCGCACAGCTGCAGTTGGCCTATTTTATTTGCCTAATTTCTGAACTTCGTGCCTTACCGGAGCGCACAGCTGCAGTTGGCCTATTTTATTTGCCTAATTTCTGAACTTCATGCCTTACCGGAGCGCACAGCTGCAGTTGGCCGGAAAGAACTTCACTCGCCTGTCCCAAACATGAGCAGGCAGAAGTTCATCGCCCCTTGCGCTGCGAAAAGTCGACGCCGAGCGCTGTGTGCATCGCGTTCTCCTGGCTGTCGGAAAGGTCCTGTCACATGGACAGCAAGCGGCCAGCTGTGCTTCTCTGAATCCTCTACCACCACTAGAGTCCATGCCCATACATATCATTATGATAGCACTGTGGCGATAGGCAGTGACAAGAAGCGATAACTGCTAAACAGGAAGGTTGGCATTATTTTCGAGCTGATTCTCCTCGAGAGAGAGTTGCATGATTCAACGATAACGATGTAAGTAAAGCCTTCGTCTTCGAACTCAGCAGCGCGTGCCTTTTGCCTACTTTTTTTCCTCCTTTGCTGTACGCTCAGCCTCGTACACTCGACCTACGCAAGCCCGACTCCGGCGCGTGCGAGCTGCTATTTGTGCTAATCATGCGCGCTGTCCGTGATCTGCACGACACAGCCGCGCCTCCGCTGCCGGCCTGCCATGCCGGGTATCGCGAACCGGATGGCACCTTATTTCTTTTTAAAGGGGAAGTATACCCTAAAATCAAATTTTCACCAGTTGTAGTCTTCGGGGTGCTGAGTCGAATGGTCTTGGTCCGAGGAAGCTGAGACGCTCCCTTCCTACTTGAATCCCAATCGAACTCGCGCACTTCCACCGAAACTGGGTGACTGCGCCCTACTAGATGGGGATTTGTATGCAAAATGTCACTAAAAGCGCCATTTCGTTCTTATAAAAGCACGGATGACCGCGATTGGCCCATATGTTGTAGTCTTTTGGACGCTGAGTCGACTGGTTTTGGTCCGAAAAGGCTGCGATGCAGCGTTCCTCCTTTATTCCCAATCGAACATGGTTGAAGAAGCGGTCACGTGCTCGTGCGTACACCAGTCGCCTGGTCACCGTGCCTGCAGGGTACAACTTACTAGCCTGTTTGACCTTTTTTGGGTGCAGTCCTGTCACTCGAGTTGAACTCGAGTTGAACCTTGGTGTGAAAGTTGTCGCCTGCTGGCGCGGTGACCAGGTGATTTGGGCACCCAGGAGCACGTGACCGCTTCTTCAACCATGTTCGATTGGGAATAAAGGAGGAACGCTGCATCGCAGCCTTTTCGGACCAAAACCAGTCGACTCAGCGTCCAAAAGACTACAACATATGGGCCAATCGCGGTCATCCGTGCTTTTATAAGAACGAAATGGCGCTTTTAGTGACATTTTGCATACAAATCCCCATCTAGTAGGGCGCAGTCACCCAGTTTCGGTGGAAGTGCGCGAGTTCGATTGGGATTCAAGTAGGAAGGGAGCGTCTCAGCTTCCTCGGACCAAGACCATTCGACTCAGCACCCCGAAGACTACAACTGGTGAAAATTTGATTTTAGGGTATACTTCCCCTTTAAAGGGGAAGTATACCCTAAAATCAAATTTTCACCAGTTGTAGTCTTCGGGGTGCTGAGTCGAATGGTCTTGGTCCGAGGAAGCTGAGACGCTCCCTTCCTACTTGAATCCCAATCGAACTCGCGCACTTCCACCGAAACTGGGTGACTGCGCCCTACTAGATGGGGATTTGTATGCAAAATGTCACTAAAAGCGCCATTTCGTTCTTATAAAAGCACGGATGACCGCGATTGGCCCATGTGTTGTAGTCTTTTGGATGCTGAGTCGACTGGTTTTGGTCCGAAAAGGCTGCGATGCAGCGTTCCTCCTTTATTCCCAATCGAACATGGTTGAACAAGCGGTCACGTGCTCCTGCGTACACCAGTCACCTGGTCACCGTGCCTGCAGGGTACAACTTACTAGCCTGTTTGACCTTTTTTGGGTGCAGTCCTGTCACTCGAGTTGAACTCGAGTTGAACCTTGGTGTGAAAGTTGTCGCCTGCTGGCGCGGTGACCAGGTGATTTGGGCACCCAGGAGCACGTGACCGCTTGTTCAGCCATGTTCGATTGGGAATAAAGGAGGAACGCTGCATCGCAGCCTTTTCGGACCAAAACCAGTCGACTCAGCGTCCAAAAGACTACAACATATGGGTCAATCGCGGTCATCCGTGCTTTTATAAGAACGAAATGGCGCTTTTAGTGACATTTTGCATACAAATCCCCATCTAGTAGGGCGCAGTCACCCAGTTTCGGTGGAAGTGCGCGAGTTCGATTGGGATTCAAGTAGGAAGGGAGCGTCTCAGCTTCCTCGGACCAAGACCATTCGACTCAGCACCCCGAAGACTACAACTGGTGAAAATTTGATTTTAGGGTATACTTCCCCTTTAACGAGTAACGACGCCGCGCCGGCGTCCGTCTCCACCATCATGCAAGAAGTAAACTAATTACTTACAGTGCATTTCAAAACTATAGACGCGTGGTAGTAGTAGGGTTTTTGAAATATTTCAAATTTGGCTGGAACTTTTTGAGAATAGTTTTCGGAATATTGCTCAGGATCGCTCCACAATTGCTCTCATATAGTTTCTAAAGGATTGGATAACAGACGCCCGATTTGGAAAAATTTATGCACAAAGTGATCACAGATTTTATGTGGTATAGATGCTGGCATAACGGTTTTTGCCTAGGTACGCGTCTATAGTTTTGAAATGGACTGTAGCAACACATCTGAAAAGGGAAGAGAGGGGGGGGGGGGGGTCGTAGTGCGAAGTGAAGACCTGGGTCAAACATTATAAATATTTTTTCCGAACTCACTTTAGCTTCTTTGCACACTTTCTCTTTTCCCAATTTCAATGTTCATTGTAAATACACAAATAGGAGATCCCCCCCCCCAATAGGCGTCAGCCTTTGGGTAATCCTGAAATAAAGATTATAATTAGGCCCAAACAAATAATGACCTTGTTTCCGGTCGGCCGACCGGGCCACTTTTTCGAAACTTTTTTTTGGTCCCAAATGTATACAAACGGTGGAAATGCCATGTGTGCAAGTGCACTCAACGAGTCATAACTCAGTCAAATTTCAACCGAATTCCATAAACGAAACACCTACAAGGTACCAGAGATTCTCAGCTGTCGGCTCGAAAACCTCCGGGGTCGATACGAGCTAGAATAACGGAGCTGGAAGGACTCGAACTGTTTGCTTGATTTCTCAGGATGTACGAAAACAGGAATACACCACATGCTGTACAAGAACAGTGAGTCAGTCAACTTTGACATTGATCCTTGCCATGATATATGTATGTACAATGTTCATGTGTAGGTGCTCTTGTCCATCAATACCTCAACGATTGAGGAACCAAAAAAATTATCCAAAAAAAGTTTCATTCCAGCCGACCGAGTCTCCTTTTTGAGGGGTTGGACCGGAAACAAGCCTATTTTTTTGTTTTGGCCTTATGATATTATACATGCAGGGACAGAATCCCCTGAGACAAGGGTGTTGAGCCAGCCACAGCAATAGTAACATGTCTGTGTTAAAGCAGTTGTCCACCTACACCTGTATACATGTACATCATGTACAGTCAAACCTCTTTAGGACGAACACCAAGGGACCGATGCCATTTGTTCGCAATAACGGGAGTTCTTCTTATCCGTATGTTATACCCAGTGAATACACAGTGATTTATCCAATGGAGTTATGAATACTAGTTCTTCTTAACCAAACATTGGTCTTATCAGTGTTTTTCTAACGACGTTTCACTGTACATGTACATGCAGTGCGGTGGTGAGAAGAGTTCAACAATTAAATAGTCTGCTAATATACCTGCAGTTCCACTACTAATACAGTGCCTTATTTGGAATCAGTGTTTACCCTCATCCAGTTGACGGAGACGCCCTCAATAATACGGAGGATTAGCAAGACGAAATTCGCGTTCACGTTCGCTCTCCAAGGAAAGTCGAACTCAGTGACGGAATTCGCGTTATGAGAAGGATTAGCAAACAGAATTCGCACATGCATGACTTTGACACGTCGTCCATAGTGTACAGACAGTACAGCGTAGTAAATTTATGACTGTCCTGACACGAATCCGCGATTCGTGTTCCGACTACTTTTCCGAACGAAAAATGCGAAAGTTCGCAATCCAGTTCGTGAACTGAAAAATGTTTGCGAACGCGATCGCGAATTTCGTCTTGCTAATCCTCCGTATTAATAATAATAATAATAATAATAATAATACAAAGGATCAGTCGGGGAAGTGAACTGCCTGAAAAGAGAAAAAAACGCCAGACCCACCAGGACTGGCGTTTTTTCTCTTTTCAGGCAGTTCACTTCCCCGACTGATCCTTTGAATTTGAAGTTCTCCCAATCCTTTCCAAATAATAATAATACAGCACGCGTATACATGTAGCTCATATGACAAATCAAATGAGGGTCATGCATCTGTCGACCCCCCCCCCCCCTTCTTGTCATGAAATTCAATATGTGCATGTCAGTAAATGGGTCAGGACCTTTGGATAATGGTCAGGATGAAAACCGAACGTCTGTAGCGTCAAAGCAACTTAAATAGGGGCGGATTTCACTATTACCATATTAGATATCAGATTACTAATATTACCACTATTGTTGAACATGCGCACAACCGATCCTTGTCCAAATCAAACATTAATGGCTAGGTAGACGGTTAAATAGAAGATTAAAGGGACATTTGCTTACCATGCTGGTTGACGAGGCGTGCATCGTGATGCAGAGTAGACGAGAATTTGTCCAAGTCCCCTGCACTGTCTGTGCTGGCCCCAACGGGAGGATCTTGTCAAACTACTAGCGGCAGTGTACCCAGCAAGAGTGAGTTGTGGTAGGTTTTGTGCTCGCTTTTTCTGTCGTTCCAAGAGCACAAACTGCATTCCCGAACTATATTCCCTCTGCCGTACGGATAAAGTGCCACCAAGAGTACTCTACTTATGTACTCTTGGTGCCACACATCAGTGACATCACCATGAACCGAACCAGATCTGCAGAGTGTACAACTCTGCACCAACATGTTGCATCAAGAGTACATTATGTACTCTAGTCTTGGTTGCATGCAGCATACACCCTGCGCCATCCCACAGTAAATTCTTGTGTGGATAAATGCCATGCCGTTGGTTCACTGCCGGTGCCGGGAGCGCGCGTCGATATGATGTATCACGCCTGTGCTGGGGAGGGTCGATGTCGAGAACTCGTACTACCATACTTGTGTGCGTACTTCCCGCCAACAATATACACAGCATTGCAGATGGGATTTTTCCGCCAAAATTTCGGTTTAGGAATTTGTTGAGTCTGCAGAAAAAGGATCTGACGCGAGGTACGGAGGACTCGATTTCGCACACGTAGGTCTACACGGCGGGATGCACGTGATCCGG